TCCCAATGACACTATACCATACTGATGCTATACAATACACTATACAATACACTATACTATACTATTCACAATGACAAAAAATCAACTGAGGTACTGCTTCATTGCTCGAGCCATGTGATGAAGCATTTTCAGGTTTTTCGCGAGACACAGGAGCACTTATGTTCCTATCACACAATTTTTACATCTTTTTTTACAAGAGTCTGTTGGTACTCCAGTATATAGATGAATGCTCATGATGTTAAAGAAGTATTGACACAAGTTTTACAAATTTTCAGGTTGCTGCTCGAAATAAAAATACTGTATTTGAAAAACACGAAACGAGTATTGTGGCACCTGGAAATGCATAGTGCATCATTATTATTGCTGCATTAAAAACACTGTCTGTTTGATATCTAGAAGGCGCCATCACAGTGACATGTCATAATATTGTGACGTGATGGGGAGACCAACTTGCAACATACTAGAACAAAATCTGTTATTGCTCATGTAAAGAAGATTGCGTCAATTATCATCCAGGGTAATTTCTGCAATTTAGACACCATGCAGGAGTAGCGCTCGCAATCTCGCGGGAACTGTATCAGCTCACCAGGATAATGCCCGTTGCAGTACGGCTGACTTACAGATGCTCAACAATGAAAACTTCAAACTCAAAGTAAAATACTTTATACGTGTTGTCCGACTCCGGTGTGTGGAAAGCGGTGACACCGCGAACCAAGATAGCGAGAAATGTCCCTTTCATTGTGTCTCAAAATTGTGTCAGTATTCTTTTAACAATGCCTGAAATAAGAGCGCATCATGTAGACAAGGACGTTAGTCAAGGTAGTAAGTCAGTCGCGGTAGTTAGGACGGTAACGACAAGCACCTTAGTTAGTCCTTGTCTAAATACGTGCTCATATTTCAAGCAATCTTGAATCACCAACTCACCCAATCATCCATTTTAACAATGCCTTTTTAAATCTGATGTCTAATTGAATCCACCAGTTTGTCTGGCATTAATTATTTCCATGAGCCACATAGGTTAGAATTCCAAAATATGCATCCAAGCATATTTTTATCGTATTCACTCACATAATAGGCGCACTTTTTTTTTTCAGAAAATCTGGCTCCAAGTTCGGGGTGAACCTACTACACGGGTAAAATTACGAAATTTTTACTTCAGACTACAGCACAGGCCACTGATAACGTATACGTCGCAGAAGTCGTGAATATCTGCTCTACAGCCGAAACAACCTTCTTCATAAGCTACACTAGAGCAAAATGTGTTGAGCATGCAGTCTCGCGTGTCCGAGAATAGAGGCAGGCGATGCCTTCGAATTCACAAAAGTTATCAGAAGACACATGTTGCCAATGAAACGAATGCAAAAAAAAAGAAAAACTATGAAAAGACAGCGCCATCACGGAAATTTGCCAATTACATTTCAGGGCGCAAATTATTTGTGTGCTAAACAGTACCGATCGTTCGATTTCACAAACTCGCACCCCATATCCAAAACATTGCAATCTAATCGCAAAACACCATTTGAGTGTTACAAGCACCTCCCAAGCCCCCTTTTCTTCAAATAGTGCCACCAAAAGAGCTACATTGATTCCATACAAAACTGCAATATGATCGCCCTTGACCGCCACCGAAAATCATGAACAGTGATTAGGCCTAGCCTATGGTTCAGCATGTTGTCGTAGGAAGTTTGTACAAGACAACCTGAAGAGAGGTCGTCGAGAAGATCGCACTCAGGCATTGATCCAAGAGCAGCGTGCGTGATACGATGTTTAGGTTCGCAGCCAGAAAATCAACGTTCCCAAAAGTCCGTCGAGCTTGCGCAAGCCCGCAAGGTGGCAGAAAAAGCGAAAGCTCACGTTGCAAAGCTGAAAAGCTTTTAAATTCGATGACGAGATAGCCAAGGCGATAACGACAACATCTTTTTTTACAGGAGACTCAATGCACACTTCACGAGGACGTAATCGCGCATTCCATATGGAGCGCATGCAACTGTGCAGATTCCGTATCTACCCATAGCATAACCACAGAACGGACACAACGTACACTAACACCCAGGCTCACACCATATGCTAACATGTCGCAACACGCTGGTCACTTTGGCTTGGTTTGGACTGTATTGGGGTTCCATGCATTGATAACATACATAATGCTTAAGAAATAGCGCCACGCTGTTTTGCACTATCATCATCAGTGCTTCAAAGAGCAGACGACATTACGGCTGCAATTTTTGAGGGTGCGACAATTACTCGCAAAAAAAAAAATTACGTAATTTTGTTGGGCAAAGGGGAGGCGCAACGATTCCGCAAGTAAATAAGGTGAGTGATGGATCGTTATATCATGAATCGTTATAAGTGGTTCCGACTGCATCTGGGAAAATGTACAATCTAAATTCACTAAGACATTGCACAGTTTCACTTACTAGTGACTTTATTTTGTATGTGTACTTCTTTACATTACCATGTAACTGGATACCAGATAGAATCTGCAGTACGTAAACCTTTACGTAACGTAAAACACTCGCTGGATAGGCTTTATGTTTGCGGCCCCATAACGAAAATCCACCTTCAATCGTAGGAACTTCAGAATCCGCATTGTGGACACTCGAGCCTTTGAGTTAAAATAAGCCGAAGTGTGAGTGCCAACAGCAATTACATTGTTTCAGCTGGATTACCAAGGCTAGAATGGCCTAGAACATTGACGCTGTAAACGTGTGAGCCCCTGACAGGCGGGACAGGTGGCGCCATCTAGCGGGGCTTTAACTCTTTCGTTACCGCACGAAAATGGTTATTTTTCATGTGTCTCTGGAAGATTGTTTTTGCCAATTCGAAAGGTACTCCAGCACGCATTGCAGCATACCAAATTTTGCGCAACAAAATGCTCTTTCCAAAAAAACACATGCTTTTAAAGCAACGACGATATTTTGGAATGAATAAAAATATTAAAAGTATGTAATTTTTCGTTGCCAGCTGGTAAGCAGTGCAAGAAAAAACACTATATGTGCCAAAATATTCAGAACACAAAAAATTCAGAATGAACATTTTAAAGAAAAATGACCCAAGAAGAGTATAAAGAAACAAATGTACAAAACATTTCTATTCATATAGAAGAAAAAAATCAGAACCGAGGTGCTGCTTTGTAGCTTGAGCCATGCGGCAAAGCATTGCCTGGTTTTTCATGAGACACAAGTGAACTCGTAACATTTCTCAGTCAATTTTTGTTTTTTGGGGATAAGAGCTTTCAGGTGTTCCAGTATAAATGGATGCCCGTGATGTGAATAATTCCTCTACAAATAACATGTGTAATGAACTTCGCTATATCATCTAGCGTCACCTTTTTTCCATAAGCCCCCTTGCTTCGCTGAGCTTGGCATTCCAATATATGCATCCGACTATATGTTTTAGCACTCTGCACATCATATTACAAAAAGAACAATATCGTGCGCAGTTCTGAAATGATTCACTCTGCTACGTTGTCAGGGCTAAAATGTGCTTTGGGAACCTTCTTGTCTTTAAGAGAAGCTCTGCAGCTGGCACCAACACACCGTGCCCTAGCGAAGTGTGGACCTCGCACGTAACCAGAGTAGCTATAAGATTGTGCACAAAGGCAACTACACACTTGCAGCAAAAGAGACAACTTGAGCCCGTAAGCAAAACAAACTCATCAACGTCTGTGGAAGTCTCAGGCTGACACAAAACATCGTCTCCATAAGATATGAAGCTGACGTGCTCTCATCCTCGAACTCTAATCTCGTCCTCACTCACTTCAGGTGGGGTTGCAAGGCAGTTTTGAGTGGCACATGTGCTTTGCAGCGCTCTTACGCGCACGTGACAACTACGCCATAGGAGCGACTAGTGTCACTATATGCGACCCTGTGTCTGACATACAAGCAAAACCAAAGCTGCTGAAAACTGGCTGAGAAGGCCGTCTCGACACTTTAAACATACATCGGACCACCGGAAATATTTGTTCTAGAATAAGTTTTCCCCGACTCCTAGCAACAGCTGTCTATTGAATAGCTGGTATAAATTTCCAGCAATTATTATTGCTAAATTTGCAAATCTGACAATTTCATTCGATATTTGACTAGCAAAGGTTCCTTTCATTGCATAACTTTTATGTTACTGCAGTATAATTACAAGGAGGCATGCACTTTTGTCAAGTTCGCCAGCCTAGTACACTTTTCCAACAATACAAGCACACTGGTTCATGCAAAGGTCTGTCAAAAATCACTATGTTGCCCAAACGCGCAAATTTAAATTGATTCTGAAAGTTGAGTGGCTGTACTAACAACTAAAAAAGTGCTCGATGCACGAGAAACAAATTTAACATGCCGAAATCGATGATCCAAAGCGTCGTGGTAATGAAATAGTTAATGAAACAGGTAATTACACAATTGCTATTGCAGAAACCTTGTGCATTGTATGTCTGGTGTAAAAACCACATTGTGGCGTTATTACAAATGAGTTACATTGCAATGATTTTCACCTCGAAAATATTATGTAAGCCAACATGTTCACGACGGTGCTTGCACGAAGTGTCACAAGATGTTGACACCATCGTTGCACTCACCTCGTATTTTTCATCCTTTTGAGCATACGAGGATACTGTACACGATAAAAAAGACGTCTCCCTATTTCGCCGCAGCAGTGATTCCATTTTATGTAAATTAAACACAGCTTAAATGCAGTTAGCATCACTATTTATGGTTTGCGAAAATGTAAAGGAATATGCGTTTATGTACGTATGTAAATGCTTACGTATGAGGGGCTAAAACATTGAAAAACATATGTTCCGGTAAAACTGGTAAATGCAAACTGATATTCGGTAACACGGTAATGTAAAAAAGTATACGTACAAGCTAAAAGCCCCTATTAACTATATTGTGAACATTGGCTTTGGGAAATGGTATGAAACACGTATGCATCAGCTCTACTGTTAATACCACAAGCCACTGAAACAAACTAAAGAAGACAGGTTGTCCTGATAGTGCCGCAATACTCACATATTTGAGACCCTTGCAGGTAACATAGAGAGCAAAGAGGTGCCTGTCGACACCCTTGCCGCTCATGGCGTCCCGGTAGAGCGTTTGATGTTTGGCACACGCACGTTTAAGGAGACGAATTTTCTCCTCGGTACTCACACTGTTCTCCACCATTGCCCTAGAAAAGACGGATTAAGAGAAAATTTTAATAATATCGGGGGTTTAACATACCAAACCCATACACTGACATTACATAACAGCGCAGTGAATCACACCATTTATTTCAGATGCAACAGCAAAGCCTACAGAGTATACAAAGTACCCACTCACAGCAACACTGCCAGTGCTAACGCCCCAACGATAGTTGTAATCAGACAACGACTGCTTGAAAGTCAACATCTGTCCAGCGTGTGTGTGCACATGTGTGCTCAGTTCGGCACCCAAGCATGAGGCAATGAAAAATATTGACTATTTGAATTAGGCTGTTTTTAGAGACAAAAGTCGTGCCATAAACGCTAAGCTACTAAAGTAGCTATGTGGAATCAAACAGAACTCCTGGAGAGTGGACTATTTGGTTAGTCGGCTAGTCCATGTCTAAACTTTCTTTTTGGTGCCTATGTTTGCTTTGCACCGTTTACACTACATTCAAGCACGACTCACCTGACAAATTCCGTGGCCTCGATTGTGCACGATCGCACAGTCTCAGTTCGACCATTGAGATAAAGCCGCGTCATGCTTGCTTCGTATGTCTGGACAAACTTCTTGTTCTCCTTGTAGTACGCAAGCTGCAGGGCCATCTGGACGAATGCATCTGGAGACACCTAAAGCATGCATGGAGGAAAAAATGGAGGAACTTTTCAGATTAACGAACTTTTGAAAAATCCGGCGCTAACTGCTAATAGTTTCAGTATACAAGTATTTCACTACTATGTACTTCAGAATAACGAGCACTAATTTAGTTTCTTGTTATATTAACAACGCCTCAGTACAACGAACTCATGTTCTGAAATCCGTAGCAACGACCGGAGCGGTATGCAAGCAGACGACACAGCGAATGGACGCCTTGCTTTTCGGACCACGCAAGACGATGCGAAGGGGAAAAAACGAAAGGACAACCTTCTGTTCTTTCTTTTTGTTGAAACGCCGATGCTGCAGGTTTACAAGCGCCGAGGCGAGGGGCGGGGGCAACATGGGAGGGCAAGGTCGGCGGCAGAGTCGGAGTTGCGGAGTAGAAAGCATGGGTGTGGAAAACCCGAGACAGCGAGGAAAGAGAAAAGGAAATGCAAGGAATTTTCTTTTTTAGCTCTTTCTTTTCTTTGGAAGAGATGATGACAGCCATACCCTTTGGGTTTTTCTTATCTTTGTCCCTTCATGTGCTCCAGGAGGCCTTGTCAGTCGTGTTCATCTCTTTTCGATGATTACTTATCGCATCCACAAAGCAAGTCAGCCTTCGCGCTGCGGTGCTACTACAATGAGTTCATCTCTGCTTGTGACCGAAAAGCGGAAGCAGTTTTTGCTAAGCGAGAAAGTGGATCGCACCACAGGAATGTGGATGAGCTGGAGGCCTTCGCGCTGCTAAATTTGTGCTGCACGCGTCAGAAAAAAAAATCACAGACTTCTTCACGTAAACGTGCATTTTTTAGTGTTCACTTGTGCAATTGTTTTTTCTCGTGAAAAACAAGTTCAAAGACTCACTGCTTTAAAGGTAAGTCGTTTTGGTCAGTGAGAAATAAGTATTTATGGTTAACTTTTGGGATTTTACTATAACGACAATTCAAAATAACGAACAAATTGCCATGGCCACCTGAAGTTTGTTATACCAAGATTTCACTGTAGTCGTAGAGCAAGTTCAAGTTGAGGCAGGCATGGGAATTTCATCCTTATGAAACTGCCAAACAAAATAAAAATTGTTTTCAGTCTCCAGCTTTAATGCATACTTTTATGTATCTTGCGAATTCTCTATATGCCACAGAAGCGAGGACCTTGCAACAAAAAACATACTTCAGAACTACGTAACGTGTTGTTGGTCACCCACCCCTTCGGTGCATACACACCAAATAAGCAAAATTATTGAAGGGAGAACTTGCGTCAACCTGGCGAGAAAAAACGAAGTAGTAAGAACTGCTGCATGCGCTTCACGCTCTCTGCCATCAGCTACAAAACAATTGGTTCTAGCATAAAGTACCTTAGATGAGACAGCGCTAGATTTTTCGTTCTGAAAGCTACCTTCCCCATGAGTACTCGACAGCCATTATTAATGGCGGCATGCATTTTGTGTCTTGTTTACTTGAAGGTTTTCGGTATGTGATGAATTCGCGACAATCGGCAGGAAAGAGTCAAGAAGAAGTCCTCAAAAATATTGCAATTTCAAAAAGTATACCTTTGAATGCAAACCTAAATTAACAAACTGAAGCCAAAACATGTAAGTGACAAAAGTGCCCCCAATGGTCTCTTGCATTTAGGAATGTGCGAATATTCAAACACTTTGGAGAATTTCCCGAATATTAGAGCATTCGAATTCACTTTGACACAAATTTCAATTATTCTAAATTTCGAAGTACAGTTGAGCTCCTTTCTAAGAGACAAAGATATAACAAACAATTGGGTATAAAACCACCAGTGTGTCTACAGCGAAGTAGGGGCTGATAAGAAAAGGCATACAAAGTACTACTACACATATAAGAGACAGCTCATAAAAGACAAGAACTGCTGCCCGGTGCATGTTGCTTATAAAGGAGTTAAACTGTATTGGAAATGAACATGTATAACGTAGGCTGTATAAACGAAATGTAAACCACTGTAAATATGGTTTCACCGCAGTAGAGAGGTGCCTTTTAGTAGAGAGGTACCCATTTAAAACAAGTCGACACTGCTTCGCTTCAAGGTTAAATTAACACATTACCCTCACATCTTTTCGTCACTTTTTATTAAAAGATTCTAACACCGGCTTATATGCTCCAAGTATAGTCAATTTTAAAACGTAACATATTTTGCAGTTTATCACTTATATTTCACAGACAGTCAAATGCTGCTACTACTCATGACTGCTTACACTTCCCTTTAAACCAAAAAGAATGACATTTGCACTTGCCTTGTTTCAATTTGAAGAAATATAGTGTAAATTAGTTGGCTCACAACAAATATGCTCAATTTCCTTTACATTATGTAATATGTATTAATAGACTTAGATTCGAAGTTATTCGACAAAGTCACTATTCATTTCAAGTTCGCTTGGAACCTAGAACTTATTAACACGTGCCCATAGTCAGATACAAGATTCCGAAGAGGTCCCACCTCAGCGGCCGAAACACGCCAATGGATCACCTCCGGGACTAATGTAATCATCCCACTCATGCATTTGACAATGTTCTCCGAAGGCAAGATTATTACCAGCCGCCCGGCTCGTGAAGTCAGTCAGGAGTACACACCCATTCGGGTAGGCATGTATACATCCACAGAATTCCAAAGTTGTATCCAGCAACAGTTTCATTATCAGGATAATGCTTCAAATAATAAGGACACTCCAAATTCTCACCTTGCATTTCTTGATGACTCCTTTACCCCAACTATCATGGTCTCTCACAAACAAATCCATGTCATCATTGGCCTAAAAAAAAGGAAATCACAACGTGATATTGTAACGTGAAACGGCAATCAGTGATATGTTGCCCATGCAGGTACCAAGAAATGCTAGTGCCAAGCAACAACATACATTGCCAAATTTGAAGTCCGAAGAAAAATTGCATCGCAAGTGGTTACGACATTACCGGGGAAATCTCCTATTATTGCCATGCTCATTGATGGCCGGGAGATGTGTATACAGTCAAAACCCGCAATAACGAAACCCCGCGAGTACGAAATCCCCGCGGCAACGAAATATTTCCGATCCCCGGCGAACGTTCATAGAAGCCCATGTATCACGTATCTCGTGGCAACAAAATGTTTTTGGACAGCGATCTCGCATTAACAAATTTCCACCACGGTGCAGGCCTTATTTTACCCTCCCGTCAAAGGTTAACTGTCGAAAATATGCTCACATGCGTGTTATGCGCACTCAAAATTTGTAAACGTCTGCTTTTGTCGCGCTAGCGTGGCTACTGCCATTTTTGTTTACTTAAATTGTCGATGGGGTCTGTGTCCGGCAACATGCCTAGCCACACTGCAGCTGGCGATGGCAAATGATCATGCTGGAGTGCAGATGGTGCCGTCGGACGAACTCAACAGGCTGAAGCAACACCAACACTTGGAATCAATCAAAACGACGAAGAGAAGACTGGAACTGGTGGCGAAATCGAGATGAAGTTACAATGGCGCCCGAGAAAATCTTGACGCCGTAAGCAGATTCTAAGTTGATCGCAGAAAAAGAAAAGAACGGCAACAATATCATCATCATGTTAAGCAGCCCTGCAGCGACACCATTAGGGGGCGACACAATCCTATCCTGCATTGCTTCCGTCATTTCGTCACTTCCGTAGCCTCACACACGTGAGCGCCGCGAGTTGTGTTGTGTGCGACTGTTTGCGTGAAAGTGCTTTCAAGATGGTGGCCGCCGCATGGGTTGCAACATCGCCGTCGCTGATTGAGAACTGCTTCAAGCACGTGGGCTTCACCACCACCATGCAAGCATCACGCACGGATTGCGCTTCGGTTTCACCAGACGAAGATTTGGACGAAGGTACACTTGACGGCGAGAGTGGTGGCAGTGCAGGGCCTCTATCCCTGACCAACGCCTGGGGGGAGCTTGAAGCCATCGACATCGACATCCCAGATGAACTCATCGTTGATGCGTTCGTTTGCGCCGATAACGATGTAGTCGTGTACGAGGAAGTGACCCACGAGGCCATTATCGAAAGCGTGTGTGAAGCTGACACCGAGGACCAAGAAGAGGCCCATGCGGAGAAACCCAACCTGCGGGTCGTTTTGGATGTGCTGGACACCCTTCAGTCCTTCTTCGGCGCACATGACGACGACATAGCAATGAACCATTTTTTCCAGTGCGAAGGGAGAGCTTAGAAGTTGTTGCATGGCAAGGGTCGGCAAAATAAGTTGACCGACTTCTGGCAATAAATTTCAGTTCTGCTGGCCGTATCACTGTTTTTATGTCTCATACTCACGGCAACGAAATTCTCGCGAAAACGAAATTTTTCGGTTTCCCCAGCGATTTCGTTATTGCGGGTTTCGACTGTAGTATTACACATGGCAGCCATCCCAAGTGGGTGCGGCCTTGCCGCATGGTCAACAGAGGTCATAAACAACCGCTCCGCGTGTTGGCTCAAGTCTCCTTTTTTGCCCATATTTCATTCCCCCACTTCCTTCCCTGCCAGTGAGATCCCTCTTTTGTTTGCCATAAACTTTTGTTTTCCTTAATTTAATTACATTAACTTACAGAAAGCAAAAGTTTACATCCACTTTTATACAAAACACAGCTAAAAAGAAAATCCACATAAATTTCCCAGAAATGAAGCTTTCTATTTGACGAAATATCCATTGCTTAGGATTACATTTACCACGAACAGAACTGATTTGCCATTGACTACATTGCAATCCAAAAAACAGCCAAATAATAAATCTGACGAATGTCGAGGACTGTTGCTTTACCAATAGTATAACCCACGAACGCACTACACGAAGGTATACTTAAAATTTAACCCCTTTACCACGCTGACATAGCGATGTATGGGTCTTTGGTGTTAAATTCAAGAAGTAGAATTTTGGCTTTATTTCGCTTTTTTACTTCTAGTAATCACCCTCCTGCTGTGTAATTTATAGGGGTGTGCGAATATCCACAATTTCGAATATTTATTTAACAGTGTTTGCAACTTGATTCAATCTGCACTGGAATTTTACTATTCAAACTACCCGAAGGCTAAATACAGTCAACGTCAAATTGATAATGTCCCCTTCAGATTTTTAGTATGCTTCACCCTGTCATGCTCTCGTATTGCGGCAAAGCTTTCTTTCAAGTTCCACTACAGTCTGAAATTTATTAACGCAGGTCCCAACATGGAGGTGATAGACGTGACAGAGATGGTGGCTCAATTAATGCTGCTTTTCACCTCAAATTTGGGCAGGAAGTTCGAAAAAGCAGACCTCGAAGATTTTTAGCATCCAGAATTTCAGACATTCTTATGTATTGACGTCAACGAGACGGATTTGTGACCACAGACTCAAAGGAAGCTCAAAGGAGAATAAATGTTGGAAGAAAAAGGAGAGGCTAGGAAGTAGCATCTTCACTTTTCACGTGCTAAGTGTTGTCGGCAACACTTTGGTTGCACTAAATCATGCACATAAATATAATTTGGCTTCTGCATTGCCTCATTCTTGGTAACACAGCTATGAAACACCACACCACCAGCTCTTCCTCAATCTATACAAAAGAAATGCTTTCATGTTGCTATCTGATACGAACATGTGAAGGAAACTGCTGTAATGTCTCTTCAAAGTATCAGAAAAATATTTTTAAATATTTGGAAATATTCGATTTTATTCACACTTACATTTCAATATTCTGAATGCACTTCACACCCAATATTTTACTATTCGCACAGCTCTAGTAATGAATAATATCACAACTTTAAAGTACTTTATCATTCCACGCTTCTTTTTCTATTTAGTGCCTTTCTAAAGTATCAAACACGAAGCATCGCAAGTAGAAAAAAAATTCAGCCTTGCAGTAGCTCAAGCTTCTTACTAGTGAAACTACATATACCATTCCAAAAAGCTTATTAGAAGGTAACTCCATGGCATAGCAAATGCAACTGCACACAAATACATGCTCCTTTCAAGTGATAGTCAGCCAAAGATACTAATATCTTAATTGTTGAGATTTTACATCCCAAAACAATGATATGATAATGAGTGATACCGTAGTAAGGGGCTCTAGAAATTTTCACCATCTGGGGTTCTTTAATGGTGGATCCGATGGGCTAAACCCCACTTTTGACTCGCGGCATCACCGTCACATGACCTTCCAGCTTCAGCTGGGGAAGTCCATAGCTGGGCCATGGGCCACGAGGCTAACAAGACCCAACAATGTTGAAAACATTTTCACGAACTGCCTGACCCCATCCTTGGCTGTGGGCCATACGTGTCAATGGGCGGGGTGTCAACAAGACAGATTGTTTTGTGTTTTTTTTTTCTTTTATCGGCAGCCGACTACGCCGGCGGCACTTCGAACTTGCAGGCTCTCTTTGAAGATGCGTGTGCGGCGTCGTTTATGGTTGGAACTGGCCTCAACCCAGGCTTTATTCCTCCCGCCTGGGACTGCGCACGTGTATGGGGTAAGCGGATGGGCCACGCACGTTGTGTTACATGACTCGGCCGTCAGCGGGTCAGTCCGTCGTCTGGATACACCATAATATGCACTGACATAGCACACTACAGCATTTGCCCCAATTTAAATGTGACAACTGAGGCCAGGATCGAAACAACCACCTTCAGGTCAACGGCCAAGCACCATAATCGCTACAGTACCACGGCAGACTAGCAAGAAAAACCCGTTTCTATCATACCTTCCTCGCTTTGGCCAGAGCCTCGGCAATGTCTTTCTCCAGTTCAGGTGAGATGTCCCACACGAGACGCTGGGGTCGCAGGATGGCGTACTGCTTGAACTTCTTGCCCGGTGGCATGCAGCGGCCAGACTCATCGTACAGCTTCTCAAGCACCCTGAACAGGAAAATAAGACAGTGGCACTGGCACAATAAATTTCTGTTTTACTACACATTTCTTTACCCCCTGCTTACCTTCCAGCACACTCATAGGGACGAGAGAAGAGAGAAACCGATTACAGTGTGCGACAAATCAGTGTACCTCTACTCGTACTAGATAGATTATAAAAATTTTTGTAACAGTCCATATGTGAGACAATAAACTACTTATATTAATGAACCTATTCATTCATAACTTGTAAAAATGCTGCAGAGCCCCTTTAAAAGAAAACCCACCGACATAAATTCTGCACAGAGTCAATTCCACCGACATAAGTTCGGCAGAGAGGCATATAAGTTGAACCCTTTATGAGAGACATACACTGAGCTCCAATTCTTGTCTGTTATATGAGGTGTTTTTTGTAAGCAGAGTACCACAAATGCCTTTCCTCATCATGCGCTATTTCAATGTAGGCCCACTCGCGTCTTTTATATCTATTTGTCTTCTGCATAAGTGTCTCTAACAAAAGAGTTCGACTGTATGGGCAACAGCAAGTATGCAAGATGAAGTAAAAAAGAGGCAGGCAGATTATACAGTCGAGCCCACATATAACGGCCCCACTTAAATCGAACTTTCACTTAAAACGAACAATATCCGCATGACCGTCAAAATATACATTGGTTCAATGGAACAAAATCACACTTACAACGAACGTCTCCGAGTGCCGCTGATCGGTTACAGCGAACGGAGTGAGCGGTCTGCCGGCTACCCTGGAAACTAATTTTGACCACCAATCAGGCATCGGCGAGGTGCCCATACATTCTTATTGTTAAACGCCAATTCTTCCTCCGCGCCCCTCTAGTTGCTACTCTCCCTGACCGCTTTTTGTTACGCACTCCTCCGTCCTTTGTTCCCCCGCTACGTTGAGCACCCCACATCGCCAGACGATGTCCGTGTTTTCACACTGCCACCGATCTTTCAAGGACCAGTCGGCCACGTACCCTGTTTTTGATCACTGGTACTGTCGTTGGCGTCACCGGCCTGGAGTGACCAGGCCATTTGCGAACATCGTCGGCCACCGACTGTATATATCCGATAGTCTGCCTCTAGTGCACGCGCGTACGCTAACCCAGCGACTCTGATAATTTGCGATTCCTTTCGTGTTTAGGACTTGTTCTCCCTCACTTCGCACTCAACTCAGCATGCCTTCCGCACGCGTGCGGAAGCGCGAAAATGGCTGTTAATTTGCGTGGAATGAATCGCGAAATATCGAAGTTCGTGAGGCCATGCAAACCCGCCGGCACAACAAAACGATTTTTTGATCACGGCCGTCGATTCTTCGAACGCCGCCACGCGCACCGAATGAGGCGGCCATGCTTTGACTTCTGCGCACGCTGGCACTCTTTCCAAGTTTTCTACGTGCGAGTTTTGCGGACCTTTCAAGCAAGCTACTCAACCTGCCTCCTTCCCGTGTATTTTGGTTTTCAAGGTCGCCCTCCCGCAGCATCCTCCCCTCTCTTTATCACAACTCCTTGCCCTTCTCTCGCAAGTCTGCTCTCCTCTCTTGATCACAACACCTCCGCCCGTCTCCACCGCTCCGCGACGCCCGCCATGCTGGCTGGAATTAGTTTCGTTTTCCGACCGGAAACACGCCCAGAGCTGTTCCACGCGAGTGCGCGTCTTGCTCGCTCTTGATGTGCGTGTGTCATCATGATGGCCGACGGGAGGACTAGCACGCTTTTTCGTGCCGCTCAACGAAACGTCGAAAGTGTGACCGCTTCGCTTGAGCGTAATCCACGTGTTAGGTGCCGCGTTACGGAGCGCTTGCTCATAGCTATTGACCACCTGGCAGCCAACTTGCCACTTCGGGCGTCCCGGTATTCAGCTGTGGAGATGGTGAATATTTAGTGGGCGGCGGTGACGGCTACATGTGCGCGAAACTATTTTTTGCGAGGCCAACTTCGTCGATCCTCGTGTCCGATGCCGAGTCTGAAGCTTCCGAACAGGACCATTGCGGCGGCGATTTGTGGCAGCGCGTCGTCGACTCCGACCTGGGAGAGCGGGTGGGACATCTGTTGCGATGATTTAATTACGGCCGATGATGATGCCGACACTGCGGAACCGTACCCGGATTGGGGCATTGTGAATGAAGTACGTGGCGAGAGCGATTTGGAGGAATCGGATTGCGAGAACGATGAAGCTTTGGAGCCAGCGCCTCATGCAGCTTATGCCACGGGCCTCGGCGAACGAGCAGCCTGCCGTGAACTCGAGACCGCCATTATTGTTTCTACTCTTCGAAACACGAGCATCACGGACTTTTTGGGGCAAAAAAAGTTTGTGTTTTCACACACGACTTTTTTTAAAAGCTGTGTTTCATTTACTACGAACTTCGGGATACAGCAAACGGATGCGGCGTCACGCTCAGGTTCGTTATAAGCGGGCTCGACTGTATTACTAATCAAGCTGCCATTAACATGTCAACCAACTATACATTACCAGAGAGCTTTATCACAGTGTTTAAAGTTTCTTCTGCCAGCACGTGCACACACAATACTTCATGTGGATGGAGAAAGCATGACACCTTCCGAACTTCTTTTTACACATTTATGAATGTCTCCTTGATCTCGTGTGCATAATAATAGCCAGTGCTTCTCACAGCTACAGTGGTAGCTTCAGATGTTTCTTGTCATGAGCTAACACTTCCAGAGCCAATATTCAGTACAACATAACAAATACTAAGGATGGCAAGAAGCTGAAGAAGCTGGGAAGACGGCCGTCATAGAAAGCAGAGAACATGTATTGTGAAAGATTCAGCTTTAGCATGTGGAAAATAAGCTTCTTGCCACACGTGTCACACATACGGTACAGCGTGAGAGCATCGAAGACGGAGTAAAACAGAAGAAACACGAACAAGCACTCATCCACGTCCCTCCTGTATTACTCAGTCTTTCCGATGTTTTCAAGCAGTGCCAAACATGCTGCCTTACAAAATACAGTGTAACCCCTTTACAACAAACCTCCGTAGTTAACAGAATGTTTGTTCGTTGTAAAAGGAGAATGTAAAATATAAGTATTGTTCTAGCAGACTTTGATGCAAACACTGAATTACAAGTCATAAACAGATTTATTCTCAATGGGGTGTAGGGATAAAAATCATGAATTTTTGAAAATTAAACTTAGTTTCTGTGCCCGCCCCCCTTTAAAATCTGGTTCCAAAATATCTTCCCTAAAAACTACACAGAAGTGCTGTAAAAAATCTTTGTGCCTGCCGAGGTGGCGAAAATGTTTGCAAAACTCAAAAAAAAAAAAAAAAACGGCTTTCTTGAAGTTTGAAGTTCATTTATATTTCCTTTGCCAAAAAGGAGGGGACGGGACTACAAGCCGCACAAGCGGCTTGACAAGGGTCCCGACGCCCTGGTACATGGCACTGCAGTGAACATTCATAGATATAAATGTATAATCGAAGACTTAAAATACCATACATAATCAAAGTTGAAAATGATAGAATAGTTAAAATAAGTAATAGCTACAAACATATGTGTGCACAAAAAAAAAAAACACATTGCTTAACAGATTGCTTAACACAACAGAAACATAAGAGTAGAGCGTAAATTCAATCCTGCATGCTGTGTCATTCTGTGGGGATCTTGCCCATACAGTATCGCTTTATTTTTTTTTTAATCGACAAGAGGATCTAAGTCATCACTGAAAAGTAGATTGAATCGTTTAGGCACTGTGTAACTCAATGACAGCGTACAAAGGTATACCCTAGGGGTGGGTACGGCCCACCGTTCCTTGAATATCCTTGTTAGACCAATTTTCTTTCAGCTTTGCTGAAGTGAGAATGTAGTTATAAAAATTATAGCTTCTAAACGGCTGAACTGTCAAAAATCGAGCTACCTCATGAAGTTTTCGCACTCATACTGTGTTTACCGGTCACAATTTAGTAAAGGCAGCTTCAAGCCGAAGTTCAGTTATCAGATTGTAAGACAGCACATCGAATTCGTCCAATAAATCGCAAACGTGTGTGTCGAATCCACAGTATTAGCGTTTCGTTGGATCCGCTGCTCATCCGCACTTCGTGCCTTGGGATGAAGACCACTGCAGGACAACTCTTTATATTTGCAATCGAGTCTGATAGACTTTGAAGCATCAGGCACCGCAGCCACACACATCGCAACCGAGATTTCTGCTTGAAGCCCTAGGCCGAACTTTTCCTAGGCCGAACTTTGCTCCGAACTTTGCGGGCAAGACCATCGCGTTAGCGGACATGCAAAAGCGAAGAAGTCATAATGTGCTTCGTCGAAAGCGACAAATTACACTGAACATTAGCTCCTCAGTACTGTGGATGGGCATTTTGTGCATCGGCGGCACACCCCCTGGCCAAGCTCGGTGCGCAGCGACCACTTGGAGCTCTGACTAGCAATTTCACGTTTTAGCACCCCAAAACGCAAGAAGACCAAGCACGCTGCACACCTTTTTTTGTCGCCTTAGTTAGGCATGAATGACCATCAACAGACTGCAGATTGGCGGCCTCCATCCTTAAATCGGCATGCCCATATCCGTGGCGCGCAGTTCCCATCCAAAAAGCATACCAATGTTTGAGTCGGAAGTTACTGAATATGGGACCATCTGCAGTAAAACAGTCCGCTGTAAAAGAGTCCTGACCCTTTGCTGGCGTCACATTTTAGACAATTATATCTGAATGTTCGTTGTACCAGAATGCGTAGCAAATGAAGCTCAATCAACGGAACAAATGGGGAGGTCGACATAATGTTACTAATCGGTATGCAGTATCAGAAAACTTGTTGTAAGCAGATCCACTGTAATGAGGTTACACTGTAGCCCAACTTCCAATACTACTGCAATAAATTCTCCCCAACTTTCACATCCATATTTCGAAATGTTTTCACATTTCAGCTTTAGCGAGACTTTCTCAGACATCACTGTCCGGCTGCTGCATATTGCTGTGCAACGTACAAACACTATTAATTTTATTTACTTTTAAGAGTGTTTCTCTCAAAATCAAAGTCGCCACTCACTCCCTCGTAACGGTGGACTCCCACATGTGGGCCATAGCAGGGGCATCGGCCATGCTGTGCTCGCAGTTCATGCCCGATGTGCAGTCCTTGAACACTTGAACGTTGAGCGACTTGTCAAACCAGATGCTCCTGCCGTCACCATGGAGCAGCAACTTCCCTCTTTCGGTGAGGCCCCTTGGTTCCAGGTCATTCATGCTTACCTGCAAACAGCAGAGGGGTGGGGCACATGAAGAATATAGGGCCTAACAGAAGTTCACTCACCACAGTGCTACTCACAGATTGAAACGCGACATTGTTCTTTTTAGTATAGCAACTGCCATGCACTTAGACAACCACTTCATGTCACCAGAAATGATCTGGCCACTGCAGGTAATGCTCGCTCTGATGTGCTTGATTAAAAATACGTCACCATTACACGAGCCAATGGCGCTGGAAAAAAAAACTATGTGCATTTCCTAGCCCCGAATTTTTTGCATTTCACTCATCGAGTACTGCGCAATGGTCAATAGGACACTGGTTTCAGCAATATATTCATTATAGAATTGAGAAGCTGCACCACAGTCAACTTATGCATGTTTTCTATGGTGGAATGACAGCCTTACCAAAACACCCACATGCCTCATTGCCCGTTATGATATCGAAGTCTGTCTGCACAATTACCTCAAGCAGGAAAGTAACCCCACAACAATTGCAGTTTTAAAATTACATTAGGGGTTCTGCACACCAAAACCATGAAGAGACAATGAGGCGCGCCATACTGGAAAGCTGTAGATTAATACTGACAGCCTGGAGTTGTCAAATATCATGAGTTTCTCGTAAGAGCATACACCTTTGCGCAGCGACCTCCCCAGTGTTAGTTAAGAGGACCGTCAAGCGCTATTCATCTTCTTGTATACGTGTTTATGTATGTTTTCTTGATGAACCTATAGATTGCTGCTATCTGTATGCTTTGAATTTGTTTTGCTTATCCCCCCCCCCCACACACACACGGTAATGCCATGTGGCACTGTGTGTATGGCATAAATTAAAAAATGAGTGCATGTACATTTTAGTACAAAAGAACAATTCTCTTGCCTTAAGTGTTCCCTGCCTTCGTTATCTCTTGCCTTCATATAATTGTATAAATATCAAGCCCCTTGGTACTCTTTTTGACACTTGCTGGTAAATATAAAATAAACTGTGCTGATTATACAAGGATGCGAATTCTACTTACAAAAAATGTGGCCTTCTCAATGGCGCTCAGGCTCTCTCTGTTTATGCCATCAGCGAAGTGCTTCTGGCGAATCTTTGCCCACGTCACCCTGTCTAACGTGGTGAGAGCCGCCAGAGATGCCTCAGCTTCACTGGCTGCAGGAAATCGAAAATGAAAACACTCAACTCGTCACACTGTTGTTTTGTTTTTCCAGAAGCATGCCATCTTGAATGAGGCACAAAGCATTAACTAGCCTCCAGTACTCTAACAGAGAGTTCTCGAATAGGGGGCCCAAAAGCTAAGGGCTCCAAAGGAATACCATCAAGGCCACTGCACATGCGCAAAACCCAAACCATGTTTGGGTTTTGGATGCCATTTTTCGAATTTAGCGGGAGCCCCGAAGCTTGCCCAAAAATTTTGGGCCAGACAAACGTGACAGCATTCACTGAAGTGACGGCTCTCGGTCAAGACTAGAGTCCAAAGCGCCGCAGACCCTATTCGAAAACTCATCGCTCCAGCTTGACCCAAAGCATCCATGTGCAAAATACTTTGGGGCCCCTATTCGGAAACTCCTTAATCTGAATTACTCTGCTCTAATGGCCACAGCAACAGAACCTGCAAGAATATTCCGGATTATTCAAACATACTCCCTTTCTATAGAATGAGAATTTTCCGTGGAAATTGTTGCGGTACAGTTAAAGTAGCTTCTGCTGCTTCAGTTTCAGCTCCAACCCCGATTACCAATACCTGGGCATTGCATAACACTGAAAATTCGCATGCCTATGTATCTGCATACACTTCGCAACCGGACTGGCCGGGTAACCATCATCCGCAAAGGAATTTTCACAGAGCAATCTATCGCGAGAATACACGTTTACCGATAACCTTCTCTCCTCTTTCCATCCGCCATTCCTAGGTTGCCAACAATACATACGACATGCAGATTCTTATATAATACATTAAGGCCCCTATTCTGAAGGTAACTGCAGACAAAGTGTCGTAAACTGCAGTGCACGACAGAAAAGCACGCGATGTAACAGCACCAGATTAAGTTACTTGCATTACAGCATGACATGACCTCCAAACCTTGAATACAGTAAAACCTCATTATAACAAAGCGGGATATTACGAACTAATGAATATAACGAAGCAATTGTAATTCCCCTAAAAATTCACATAGACTCCCTTGTATTTACAACCTCGTTTTAACAAAGCAAAAATTTTCTCAGAATAGATATAATGAATCATTTTTCATCCCCAATGAGCATTTACTGATTATTTTGATATACGTGAATTCAATATCTTATAGCTCGCGAAGGTTTCCGTCTCATCAGGACTACGGTAATTCAAAACTCGCGCCTTGTGCTCCCTGGCAGCTGCCTGCCAGAACGCGTGTGCACGAAGCGAGTCTCCCTGCCTCCTCTTTCCACGGGAACTAATGGAGTCGCCCGCGCAGCAACTCACGTGAGCGTGCCCGTTAGCCAGCCTCTCCTCCCTCTAGAACTCCTTGACCCGCCCGCACATCTGACTTCCTTCTCCCATATAGCTACCTAATATACACTAGAGGGAACTCTGGCGCTAGTGTCTATGGGAGCTGCAACGCATGGCGCTTTAGCGAGCATGAGAATGATGGGTAGTACACAGTTTTGTATAATCTTCGTACTTCTGGCCTGCTTCTGGCTCCATGTGTGTTCGTGGGGCTTGGAGCTGTTTTCTCACGAAACCAAAATCAACAAAAGTTCAGCGGTTGCACTTTACCACCTTATTGTTTTAGGCTTACCATTTCGAATCTGGTCACAAAGTTGAAAAGGATTCGTTCTTTCTTTCAAAACAAAACGGTAACCAGCAATAAACGAAGCCGCAAGTACGATTTGCTGCCGGAAAGTACGACAACTATGCAAATGTGTGTACTACCCATCATTCCCATAGGTATCTTCAATTTGGCTACACCGGCGGCACCAGTTCAGCGGAAGCAACACCTGTCTCCTCGATTTACTGGTGCACGCATGCGCTCTGCACTGGCTTCTTCGTTTTGTCGTGGTGCAAGCATAGTGCTGCACGAGTTCTCTGCCAGCATGCACTTGCTGAAAAAGAAGGTGCAGAGAGGTGCAGCATGGCGTACGCCCCTTCCTCCTCTCAACATTGTAGCAGACGACGCTGCGAGTTGTTCAGGGCGTGCGTGCAAACAGTTGAGTCAAGCTCGTGCCAGCAATGGGTAATCTTAGCAGTGTCTTATTGGCAGCAATTAGGATGGATATTTTTACATGCGTGTCTCATGAGCAGAAAAATCCACCGTGGTTGACTGCAGTAAGAATGGTACAAAAAAAAAAGAAAGGTTAGAGTAATAAAGATGCAGCTTGAGGCGCAAGCTGCGCCCTCACTTCATCTTTACAAAAGCGTGAAGCCAATGCGGTAGGCATCCTTCAAAAAGACTGTTTTAAAATATGTATTCAAGAGAGCTAGCTCATGTGTCTTGTAATGATATAGCGTGAAGAAAAGCGGCTCTGTCGGTCAAAGAACCCCTAGAATTTTTTCGCTTTTTCTTGCTCTATGGCCTTGCACGCACTTGAATAGAAAGAGTACGGGATTGAATACAAAACTGCTAAATTGTCGTTCTAAACAGTATGAACAGTCTCTTGGAATCATACCGTATTTACTCGCATAATCCTCACACTTTTTTGCCGGGAAACCGATGAAAAGTTGGGGGGTGCAAGAATTACGCGGGGAAAGCTTTCTACGAAAACGTACAGAACGAAAAAGAAAACGAAGTGGCCACAAATCGGGATTCTCACACCCAGCAACTAACAGCATGCTTCAAGAAGTACTAATTAAAACTTACCTCAACAATAAAAGCAGAGGTTCAACACAAGCCAAGATTTATTTGAGACACAAAAAGTGGAAGCAAATAGTCGAGAATTAGAATACTATACGCACAGCTTGCGGACGTTGCGGGCGTCGCGGTAGCGTTCGTCGCTCAACAGGAGTCCTCAAAAGGTAAGCGTGGGACGGCAGTATTGGGCTGATGGCTATTTAACAGAATTGTCTGCAGTTCTGAAGAAATAAAGTTTACCATCAATTCCAGTTTTAGGCACACGGCAGGCCCAATGCGTCTTGGTCGCTTTCAGCAGCCATCACCAGTAGCAAACACAAAACTCGTAGACTCTGAAGGGCCTACCGGCGGCCCTGTTACCGTTCTTTAGTGCATGATCTATCACTTGCAACTTGAAAGCAGCCGTACAGCTTCAGTATCGCCTCATAACTTGACAAGGTTACCGACGCAACATACAAAACACGCCGCAACGTGCACTGGCCACTTCGGCTTGGCTTCAAGCTCTGTACGCTTGATCCTTAAGAGATGGCGCCAGATGGCGTCCGCTATCACCATCAGTGACTGGAAAGAGCAGACGACATTATTGCAGCAGTTTTTGGGGATGTGATAATTACTTGAGGAAAAAAAAGAAATCGTATTTTTGTTGGGTGATGTGGGGGGTGCGAGAACCATGCGAGTGTGAGGATTACGAGAGTAAATACGGTACTCATAGAAACGTCCGACAGCGTTCCTGTACCTGAGAACACGACTGACATTTTCACTTACAACAAGAAAAGGATCAACACAAACCTCTCAACACCACCTCTGTTACTGTACAGACCGCCATTGTCGGAATCGTGGACGCTGTTGAGCAGTTTTTTTTTATACGGCATCAAAACAGCTATCGCGGCAGCGTTTTCGAAAACACCATCGATACACGCCGTGTTTGGCTATTCGATGAACTCTACCTGCACTTGCATCTTCATTTTGGCAGTAGCCGCCACGCTGTAGTGTCGCGGCTGCACCTGCACTTGCTGATGCAGCCGCAGTGCAGTGCTAGCACCCACAGCACCGCTGGCACCGCTGTGACACTTTTCAGAACTAGTGCAGGCAGTGCAAGCCAAATCAAAGAGACCTCATGGTCACTGAACGATTGCAGCGCCAGAGCCCCCCCAGGTTAATTTTAGGAAACTCTATGCCTTCTCCTCTTCAACTCCGCGCCGTGCCGCACACGCTGCCGGGGCGGCATGGTTTTCTTCCTTGTCATTCGCAGTGGAAGAGCAACACCAGCTCTAACAGTATCTGCCGCTAGACACAACATGGACAACGGCAGCGGCAAACGTAAGCGCAAAAATATAACAATCGAGCAGAGCAGAAGTCGGCAATGTTGAAAGTCGTTGAGTCTGGTGTCAAGAAAAAAAAGTGGACAAAGATTTCGGCAATGTCGCCAGTGGGTGCCGCGGACCACCAGGCTCAGATGTCGTAGGACACCGACGTTGTGCCAGACTGCGAAACTTTCTGCATGTACATCGGTGCCGATGCTGACGTGGTAACAAACAAAGAGTTGTCAGATGTGGAAATTGTGCCCGCGGTCACGGACGTGCACGATGACAGTGACGAATGTGTCAACATGCCGGAGCCTAATGTTGGCGAACCCGACACCAGCGCAAGCACTGGATGTGACAGACCTACTTGTGCTGCTTCTTTGGTGCTTACGATGACGGCGAGGACGGACTCGAAATAGCTGCTGCAGCTGAAAAAGCAGTCATCCGCGTGAGCAAGAGCCGGCAAAAGTCTTATTAGGAACTATGTCAGCTGGTGTGCTGAATTTGGCGGAAATAAAGTGCATTGCTCTTTGTCGTATTGCTATTTTTTTTTGCCTTCTGACGGCTTTTTTTCTCTGCGTGGCAAGCTGCTGTGATATTTGTTGGTGTAGCATTCTCTCTTGCTGGCTAATTGTAGAAATAGATATTGGCTATGAAAATCTGATGGTTATAACGAAGTAATTACGACACCCCCTCAACTTCGTTATAACGTGGTTTGACTTTATTTGTAGCTACGTGAGCTACTCATATTTAAAGGAATACTAACCAACAGTACGTGCTTACTTTGTCATTCAGTGTCTCAGCTATGCACCGAAGCTAGCAAGAACAAAACAAAAAGACCAGAAAGAAAATCGCTAAGCAAAGCTAGACTATTCATTAGTCAGGACCACAAAATGAGCAGGAGACACAGACATCAAATGCATCAATGTCAAGTGCCACGGGGGCAAGGCCCGTGTGACGGTCCTATCGGCTGCCAATATGGTTGAAAGCATGAAACTGCGGACACTTGTAATTGGCAAGTTTTAAACCCCAAGGTGCATGCAGAACTGCCCCAATATTCAGGTGTCTTATGCCTGGAACAAGAAGTCGTGGATGATGAGGAATATTTTCGTCAAGTGGCTTAAGGAAATGGATTCGGACCTGGAGCGTCAAGGAAAGAAGGTATGCCTTATTGTCGACAACTGCACAGCACACCACACCGATGCCAGCTGAGCAACATCGAAGTCGTATTTCTGCCGCCAAACACCACTTCGAAGCTGCAACCATTAGATAAGGGCATTATTCGCACATTTAACTTAATTTTCAAGCGTCCGCTGATCGAAATTTTGCTTGTCAAGCTCCAGATGGGCTGAATATCGATCTTTTGGGAGCCATCCAAACGCTGAAAGCGTCGTGGGATAACGTCAAGCAGTCGACGATAGCCAACTGCGTTCAGCACGCGGGCTTTGCTGGCTGCACTGACGAGGCATCAGTGGAAGAAGCCGGGCTCGCATGCACAGATGAAGAGAGCAAGCTCGCTGAAACGTGGAGCAAGCTGGAGAGCTTTGTTGGTGCTGAGCCACAAAGCATGTGCATCGACAATTTCATTGGAGGTGATGACAGCACTGGTACAACAGCGGAGCTGATGTATCTCAAGATCGTCGCCGAAGTTACTGCTGAGCAGCCAAATGAAAACGCTGCCGAGATGGATCCCGCAAGCGCTGAGGATGCCCCGCTCCCTACATCAGCTGAGGTCATAGCTGCTCTGGCCTTGTGTGCCGCCACTGCGGCGCAGTTAAAGGCACCAGCTGATCACTCGTGGATCGCCTAGATTACGTTGAGGACACAGTCTTCACACACGCCACTGCCAACAAAAAGCAGGCTACCCTTCTTCAGTATTTTAAGCCGACGCAATAAATGCTTTGTTTGAATTCTCAAGTGAGTACTTATGGCCGTTCCACGCGCTTCCCGCACAGTCGCAAGGCATGTGCCGGTACCCCTACCGCACGCAAGCAGGGGACAAATAAGCCAAGTGGAGACGCTGCGGAGGGTGAAAGAGCGCCGCGAAATGGCTTATTTATCCCTCGCTTGTGTGTGGTAGGGGTCCCATCACCTGCGTTGCGGCTGTGCGGGAAGCGCGTGGAACGGCCCTTACTGTACCATGTTTGGTTCATTGGTTGTTTTACACAAGTTTGTGGCGCATTATTTACTTGATTTTTTTGTATCAAACTATTTCGCGATCGCTGCGCTGTTCTATATATCGAGGTTCGATGGTAATATAATACAAAAATAAGAGCGCATTTGTGACAGTGGCAAAAGCCTAGCATCAACAAGGTGAGTCAAAGTGTCGTTGCCATCACAAAATAGCAATGGAAAACATTTTTGGTCGCGTAGGTTGATTTTGCGTTCTACTGCGACATGTGCACGTCACATGTTTCCAATGAAGCATAAAGAATGATGCACTATTTTTAGAATGAACAATCCTTTAAAAAGAAGATGTCGTGAGAGAGCTGTGTCACATTTCTTTCGTTTAGTTCGTGGGGCCAGAGATCGTGAGTAGCGCTAAAGTAGATCTTCAGCTGCATGACAACTAGTAAAAGTTTCCAGAAGCCGAAAATAGAAAATACCCTTGAAGACAAACTTGCGGAGTTTGCCAAGCAACTCCGTCCAGACGAACTTTCTCAAGACTGTGGCCACTGAAGTGGAATAGAGCTGAGGACTAACAAAAAGCAACTTCAAAACTGAATCGGAGAAGGAACAGCCTAGAAAATAAATTTACCATTTTATGAAGGTAAATTGTGCTTGTATCTTTTTCTGATAATCAAGACAAGTACATACCAGTTTTTTTTTTAATCAACACAAGTACATGCCAGTTTTTTTTAGATGATGTGTTGAACGTCAGATTTGATTGCCCCCATATATTCATACCTCAAACTTGCCGAAAATTGGCTACACACCAAATTCAGAGGTGCATTATACTAGCGTAAATATGGTACAATTGAACTCTATTATATGGGGCACACACTGGGGATTAGTTCTTGTCCCTTACACGGCGTACCCGTTATAGAAAAAAAAAAACACGTCCTCATTCGCAAGTCAACCCATTTTGAGATAAGCACATTTGTGCCTCTTATCCCCAACTGCCTGTATATATGGTATTAACGGAATGTATCATCTGCACATGCACATACCAGTATGCTTCTTAGCGTCTTCCATTATCCACTCGATCTGATGCTCAAGTGTTGTCGGGAAAAGAATTTGGTTGGCAGCATCATACACGTCGACCTTGTAGAAAAATCCTTTGTGTTGCAGCATAACGTGCTGAAAGAGTAAGCAATATTGAAAACAGGTTCCATTACTTTCAACACTAAAGAGTTAAATAAAAGGCATCTCATTTGCTATGGCAGTCCCTTTTTCAAGTTTTTCACACTTGATAAAATTTTTGCCAAGCTATTTTATTACAAATGCTTGTACTCTTCGCGTCACTTTTTTGCTTCGAACAGCTACTTTTGCCCCACTCAGTCACAACCATGTTCGCATTCTGCCTAATCTTACTATTACTTGTGCACCTGAATTCTTTCATTTCTCACTACATTGGTTAATTTTATTGGATACAAACCAACTTCATATAACAGTAGTGGTTGTGCAATGCAAAGAGGTGTTGTTACCCGTACCATTAACTCCCACTTTTCCATTTCAATTTCACAATTCAAACAAGTAAGATTTAAGCTTAAGTAACAAGCTCATAATGCTTATTAGCCACTCATAGTGACTTTTCAAATCTTAGAACATCTATTCTGTTGTTTGGTACACAAAGGCAGTTGTTCTTTCAACTACAAAACTGATGGTGCTTATAGTGCTCATACTGCATAGCATTGCTTCAAAAATCACTTGTATTATTTTTAAAAACTCACATAGACAAGATGTACAGAACAGCAAGGCTCTGAGGACAAATGCAGCATCATTAGCATAGCTAAGACAGAAACGTAGATGCAATGAAATGCACAATGTTGTGAAATCTTTCACCACAAATACAAATCTTTTGAGTGAACATTCAAGTTCACACAATGATGATAGACATTATAGGTTTCGTCTCTTCATTGAGATGAGCTGGTGAAAATCAGAACAATGTAGCCATAAATTATTTTCATAAATGCTGAGAATTAAGCTCATAATCATACAGACAAATTTATGATATTGGGTACACCTTTGTCCCAAATGACAAGAAAGATCTTGGTAAAGCAAAAAGCACTCTGAACCTACCTTTGACTCAGTAGAACTGTAGTGGCAGATTTCATCAATATCTACACCAGGTACTCTGTAAAAATGACAGCAAACTTATATGCTATAGGTGATTAAGCAAATGTGAAGGCCTATTGAAGTACATTTTTTCTTTATCCTATGCTGCTCAGAGTGAGCAACATAGCATATTTATACGTATCTTTATGTAACTCGTGACAATTAGCAAAAATGGTATGCTGCTGAAGCTTTTAGGCACAGTAAAGTAAAAACGACATGCTCTGCAAACAATAGCTTTTAAAGGGTCACTGAAACAAGAGTTCGCAGCCGAGATAGCTTGCGAGATCGGTTCCTGTAAATATGTGTATGTCATCCACAGAATATCAACAACAAATATTGCTCGGAAGGCATTTTAAGTTAGTTTTGAAGTTTCCATGAGCAACCGACTTCTTCGCGCCACTAACACACCCTCAAAAGTGACCCTTGGTGACCCCCCAGATCCCTCACATGGCCCGGATGCAAGTACTGCGGTAAACATACTGTACGCTTTCATTAGTGGGCAATGCAAACTGCGCTTAGCATCAGTCTACTACTGCTTTCTCGTGCAGAAACTCTAGAGCATCGTGGAGACGTCTCATGTGCAGAAAGCCAGTAGTCACCATGCTGACGTAACAAGGTAGTCGCCACACTCGTATACGGCATGCGGTGTAACGACACGAACACTGTCACGACAAAAACGCGTGCAGGTGACCACATGCAAAATTGTCAATACGAAAATCGCTGCACAACAAAGAGCCTGAGATTGAACTGCGGTGTGGATGCCACTCAACAGTTTTCACCAAGCGACAGAAGTGCCACAACACACGGCCTAGCGAGTAGAAGCAGTGCGTTTGAGGCAAGGTAGCACTTTTTTGAAGGGTCACACATATTTACAACAGTCCCAACGAAATTATGGAGGCACAATGAGAGCCATTATTACAAAAGTGCACCAGAAACACACATAGGAGAACCTATGTACCCTGAAAACCTCTCATTTTCCTGATATCTTCCTGGTGCTGCTTGAAAACTCATGTTGTCAACTCAGCCTTTTGAGATACGAAGCAGCTTTTTGACTAGCCTGTGTAACCCGGAAAACTGTTGTTCCCCTCCCCCTCTCCCACCTCACAAGGCCGACGCAGGCAGCGTCTGCTAGTAAAGACTGCTCGCGCTGCACAACCATTCACTGGCCACCACATATATGTAGGCACTGGATCGCGTGTTTGCAATTCAGTCAAGGGCACCTTTACTTGGCTTTCGCATGATGAGCGCCAGTGTCGAAGTCACCGCCAGCGTAAGCATGAGTGCCCGCTCCTTCGCATCTACACATAGTTCACCTTAGCTGGAGATGGCAACGTGGAGATTGAAATTCTCGCTTTTAAGACTATTTTTGAACAGTTCAGTGTAATTTTTACATTTTTTATGTTTTTGAAACAGCTTAACTCAAGAAATTATAATAAAATGTGCAATATGTGCAGCCATCTCATCCCTGTTTTTAATAGGTAGGTAATATTTTCTGCGCTGCTTGAAGGCACCATTAAAAACATGTGAGGGGGCCGCCACCTGGAACTTATAAGGATCTCTTGTCAAGAAAAGGAACAGTCACTGCCAATTTTATTCAGCTTATGGTAATAGCCCAGAAATGCAATTTATGAAAAAAACATGTTTTGGCATTCTTGTGAATTCCTTCATTAGAGTTCCTACTAATTTCCAAGAAAGAAATTCAAGGACTTTTCTTCAAGGACCTTTAAAAAAATTACAGGACAAGATTGTAGTTCACGGTAAATTGTATTCCACAAAACAGAGGATATTTCGTTCCCTTATTGTAACATTTCATAAGACTAGAAATTCTGAAGTTGAGAGTGGGTGGTTATGATTTTCTTTTTCTATTTGCAACTTAATGCTATCAAGTTTTTCAGTGAACTTTCGCAGTCTTTCAGAGGCTGTTGAACTTCACATGTTTAATTTCACCAGTCGCTTCTGCCTTTTCAGCGAGACTGTCAGCAGAGGTTATTAAATCAGCAACAACTGCCTCAAGCTTCTTTCTTTTCAGCTACATGCATTAACATCCTCCATAATCAAGCGATAGGAGCTTGACTGATTTCACTGCTCTTTGTAGGATATATCAGTGGCATAGGCAGGGGGTGGCACGTTAAGCCAGTGCCCCCCCCCCCCCCTTAAATTTTTCGCCCTTTCATACACAGCACAAAATGACACTTGACCACATCTGCCTGTCCAGCCACCACTTCAGATCAAGAAGGTGTTCCCCTTCCTTCTGCTGTGTTCTAAAAAAAGACACAGAAACACACCATACTAGCAATGACAAAAAGACCGACGTCACGTTCCCAAGCACCTACTTATAAAACAACTAACAGTTATCAGGCCCCGCCACGGTGGTCTAGTGGCTAAGGTACTCGGCTGCTGATCCGCAAGTCGCGGGTTCGTATCCCGGCTGCGGCGGCTGCATTTCCGATGGAGGCGGAAATGTTGTAAGCCCGTGTGCTCAGATTTGGGTGCACGTTAAAGAACCCCAGGTGGTCGAAATTTCCGAAGCCCTCCACTACGGCGTCGCTCATAATCATATGGTGGTTTTGGGACGTTAAACCCCACATATCAATCAATCAGTTATCAGCATTTCTAATAAATGTATAGCCTAAAGGTTCTGTTTGGGCATGGAAGATCAATCCGATATTTGGAATAAAGACAAGAAATGTAGCCAAAATACATGCTACACGAGCGAGACAGAGCATGTACACGTGCACCCATCCTCAGCACCATCCTGCAAACTCCTCTAAACACAGCGGCAAGGCCGTGTACTGACACGTTCATTCCAACAGTCTCACCTTGTAGTTGAGAAGAGCCTTTCATACTGGGACATACAAATGGGAACTGTGCCACGAAGAACTAGGGGCTGCAGTTCTTCTCGGTCAATTAGGCGCTTGAAGACTAGGCAGTTGTGAATAATCACTGCTGTCCTGCACAAAAGAATAAAGCAACAGTCTAATACTGTGGTTCTCAAATGGGGGTCTGCAAAACCTAGAAGGCCCGCGAAGCCATTTTTATGATCCGTGAAATCTTCACCCACTTTTTTTTTTTGTGTGACACGTATTGATGAACTGCCCAAAATGAAGTGATGAGGCTCGTTTGTTTGATGTTTTTCGTAGCAATAAAAGGCACCTGCTTCATGCTCCAGTAGTGTTAATTCACCTTAGTATACGTACTCCACCCCCCCTTCCTCCTCTCCACTGCAAGGGGTCCGCCATTCCTTCCACCAGTCCAAAAGGGGTCCCCGACACATCGATGGCTGAGAACCACTGGTCTAATACGAACACTGCATTCTTACTGTGTGGAAGTGTCTCCCCAGGAGTGTCGAAACTGCAAGGATTTCTGCCCTACAAGGCACATAAAGCTCGCTTAGAGAAAAAAGAATATTTGCTCCAGCAGCCCGCACTGAATGCTGTGAATACAAAATAAAGCGTCAACTTCCGTAAGTAATTTCAGCCTGATGTATACACTGTGTGATGTACGTTTAACCTGACAATGCTTTGAAGGCATGGTCATAAATGACAGCAGTCCCCCCGTTACTACAGGCTGGTGATAGCAAGAAATGACTGCTCACCCCGCCAAGGAGCAACGGTGCACCGATCCTCCCTGCCCTGCAAGTTATAACCATGCGAGCCACAACAAAACTTTCCAGAGGGATATCTCGGCACACAGAAATGCTAGACGAATTCTTCGAAGCGGAACTGTATAGAAACAAGGCTATCTCCAACTTTTTAACATTACCGTGCCCTCTTACTGCAGTCACCAAAAAACTCATTAGTGAATATCAGTTATTTACGAAACTTAAAGTGATAAATATCATCTCCCTCTGTATCCTCCGAGATAAAAACTTACCTCCAAAGGTGGTCGTCACATACATCTTTGTGCTGAATCTAAAAAAACTATAAAGCTTACTTTCGGTCGCCCCGTACATATAAACCAAAAGTTACACATCCGATTGTTACTTGAATATGCACTGTGTGTGCTATGTCTCGGAAATAGCCTCTGTCACTAAAGTTCTGCAGGGTCACATACTGCGGCGAACATGAAAAAGAAAAGCTTGCCTCTTGCCTGTTTTCTCATGTTAATGGTTACTTGTTTTCTTCCCGGACAACAGTACAAGTGGTTCCTACATAACCAAACATAGCACTGAGACAGTGATGCAGACGCCATGGCACCAGTGTAAATTGCATGAGTGAGCGGGGTGCATGAAGAGATTGAGAGCTGTCCGTGGAATAGTAGACAGTTGGTCCACAACTACGCACCTTGAGGACTGAATGTGTGATGGATGAGCGTAGCTCTGGTCGAAACAGTAGTAGTTGCTATTGATGGCTAGAGGCATGCGGTTGCTCAGGTATATGTACTTTTCCCTGTAATCAGGAGTCTGCTGTTAGAACTGAACCCACTTGAAGCACATGAAACATGCTCCTTAAGCAAAGTCAATTCACATCAACCATGAAATCAGCTGTGTGAAACGAGTATTCAAAACATTCAGACCTCTTCACACACAAAGCCACTTACTAAAACAAACACTTATGTCATATAGCGAGCAAGAACCTAAGGGTAATAGCCTGTCGATAAACTGTTCCTGTAAATAGGACTCGGAGCATTGGCAAATATCTGCAGATGATGCACCAATAAATGAGAGAGTGAGAGGTGTCAGTTGAAAGCTATGACTAAGGTTAACTTAGAAAGGAAGGTGACAGATGCCATTATTGAAACTACAGTCGAACCACTTTATAAGACACCAGTGTGCCTACAGTAAAATATGGGTTGATCAGAAAATGCATGCATGGTACCTTGCTTATACAGGCCACCTCATAAAGAAAGATAAGAATTACTGTATGGTGTATGTCTCTTATAAAGGAGTTCAACTTTATTACAAAAATGCAAGCATCAGCTAGTTGGTTGTTCATTTTCAATGCAGTAAGATAACTAGGACCAGGACATACTACAAGAAGGTTTATGCCAATTCTCTTGTGACTTCAATATTCTCACTACAGCACTGTAAATCCAACTATATAAGCTTCCTCAATGCAGCTGGTAACCGAATTTCACAAAGTGAATAAAAACAATTCTTTGTTATTGGTTGTTACGAACATATAGTAATAATAATCAGGCTCTGACACTGCTCCCTTAACATAAACCTCACAATCACCAAATCACCAAGTGGCCTTCAGAGATCTACCATTCCATCATATGAAGAAAATGTCTCTTTTCACATGATGACTGCGGTTTGCAAATTAATTGGCCACATTAATGACCTGCTCCTTTTGCCGAACACGTAAACAACACAACGGCCTTGTGACAACCTCACGCAAACTGAATTTGTATGATTTGAAACTTGTAGCTGTGTCCATTTCACCTAGTAATTATGCCTTCCTTATGGAAACACACCTAAGCACTACTGCATTCATTATCTTTTGGTTTTGCCATCTGCCCAATATTGTTTCACATGAAACGATGTTGGGCAGCATAGGGGTCATTGCATAGGAGTCGTTTATAAAACCTCCCTTTTTTTTCACTTGCAAGTCCCTCATTAAGCCGAAACTTGAATATGCGTCCACCATTGAAAACTACTACGAAATCAGCCTTATAAACACATTGGAATCCATACATAATTGTGCAACCTTGACAACACTTGACAATACAAAAGGATGCATTTAACAGATTAGAAACGTGATAAATATCTATATTGTGCTACTACTGGGGCTCATGCAGTTGAATTTAGTTGAACTTAGTTGAATTTCGTGTCTATAGGCTGCAGCGGAAAGAAGTCTCTCAATTCACCAAGCAATGTCGCATGCCCAATCCATGCCTTCACATGAGTCGCTGAGTACTATTCACATGAATATTTAATAATGTGTAGACACCTACCACCACTCCGAAACATAGTTGCTTGAGATCCAGGACCGCAGATACAGTAGCCGCTGTAGTGTGGGGCCTAAAGTTGACTCAAATTTCTAAATAAATCAAGGAAGAACATAGTGCATCAATGAAAAGCAATATTTAGAGTGTAAAAAGTAACTGTGACAAAAGTGTGCATGGGAGGCCAAGCTGTTCCCAAAAAAAGAAAAATCACACCGAAAAAAAATTCTGCAAAAACTATTTTTTTAGATAACTTAGGCACCGACTTGTTTCTGGGAAAGATGGTGCGCAGGTTTGCTAAGCATGCTATTTCTGGCGCAATGCTTGGAACATTAAAAAACAACAGAGAAAACAACAGAGCATCGCTCTTTTCTTTGTCCTTTCTTCACGTTCCATGCATTGCACCAGAAATATAATTCTGCCTTTTTACATGCCATAATCACATTATTATAAAGCATGCATGCCCTAGTGGGGTACTACGAAATAATGTCGGCCACTTGAGGTTCTTGCAGCTGAGCACGCAGTAAAATCTAAAAACTCACATATTTATTCATACCTCCTCCATCTAAATATGGCTGTCGTGGCCACTATACCTCACCCTCCGAGCTACCATGGAAAAATTTATTGAAATGACAGCATGTAGAATTTCTGCGATTGACTGAAATAACTTCCAGTCGCAAAACATTACAAATAGCTCCCATGTACATTTCATCCCTTTCTACAGCTGACTATTTCTAGTGCACTACGATTTCACATGTACGAAGAGGCATTGCCACAAAATTTGAAACACTAGAAACCACCACAATTTTGTGTTGCGCAGAACTGCTCTGAAAGCTGAGATTTCACTGAAAATGCAGAAGCATGAGCACTCTGGTTTTTTTACTTTGTAATGACAGTCCAGCCAAAGAACCTGCTGAAAAAAAAAGTTGAATTCGTGTGAAGCTGTCTGAAATAACCACAAATGTACTCTTTCACCTCCGCCCCTTTAAAAAGTTCTACTTGCTGTGCAGTCCAGGTACGTATTTCATTTTCTTAATTTTGAGCATTATCCAAAGTGCCTATTCAGACACTATTGTGAGGGGGGCACAAAGCTTCATAAACTGAATCGGCAGCCTCATGGCCAACCAAATTGGCTAGTAACTAGCAAATAATTTTTTAGAAAAAAAAGGAACGTTTAAAAGATCAGTCCTTGTATTGTATGACCGAACCTTAAACTTGTGGTCCAAACAGCAGGACCAGTAGTGTGCTGTTTGTACCTAATCTCAAACACTGACTCTTTTTACTTGTTATAAATTGAATAGAAAAGTTTGTCTAAAATTATGTCTTCAGTAAAACTTGCAGCTGGGCGAGTTGGCCCTTAGTTGAAAGGTTAGGATGGTTTGCGCACAAACTACGCAAGGACGGAGAAGACACAGACGAGCATAGTTGAAAGTTTGCACTTGTCCACGTATTCACTGCCTTTGTGCAGTTTGTGTGCAACCATCTTTTCCTATGAATTATATCTCGAATTCTTCAAAGATTGCCACTCTCTCCATATTTAGAAAGCTTTCAGCTTAATGATATTCCCCCAGATTGAGTTATTCCCCCAGATCTAATTGCAACAGGCTGAATAACACTGAAGTGCATGAGTATGCAAATTAGTATGGTAACACTACCAGCTTTCGATGAGGAAGCATGAGGAGGCGATTACCTGTGCCTGCATTTCAAGGACTTTCATCTCTTCCGGAGTGCAGACTGCTCTGAGCGAGTCGAGTAGGCGTACTATGGTGTCGTGCAAAGGAGGCACTGGGAGCCTTGGTAACGACCGTTGGCAACTGTACAGCGATGGCTGGTAGCCACTGACAACACGCACAGCGATGCACCACAGCATGGTCAGGTACTTCTGGCCGGGCTTCGTAGGCTCGTCTACAAACAAACATTGGGCTCACAAAAACAAATCTACAAGAACATTTCAGGAGAAACTACAACTAAACTCTACAAAGAAACACACTTGCAGGGTCAGTGGCACAAAAATATAACTTTTCTTTTTTAAGATAGATAGCTAACGACCCACTTATCATAGCTGGAAACCTCATTAGCCTGAAAGTCCCTGTAGTCAGTTACTTATAGACAGTTTTATAGCACTCAGTTGTAGTTTCGGTTTCAATGAGCCCCAAGTGAGGTAGGGTCCAAAATGGTTTTCATGTAAACATAGCAGGCTACGCCTTCACGTGAGAACCATGTCAACAAATCCTTTCAATGAAGGCTCCTTGGGTGCTGCTACAATCACCTCTAAAATTTTGTAAATACGCACAGCCGCATACCTTCCCCAAATACATTGCCAAAACAAGGAGTAAATGAAGAGGCGGCAAGCTTTTGTACTCCCACGCAACTCCATAAAGGAGGTACCCCCTCTCCGCTGAAAAGCTCGGCTAGGAAAGAGTACTCACAAGGATTATGGCAGCACACAGGAACTTGTAATGCAGGTGGCTGTTTGTTTTTTGCATTAGAAAAAAGTTGGTGCCGGCGTCATGAAGTGGGGCAATTCGTTAGAAGTTATACAACCTGCACTTTAATATTGGTTTTAAATATGTTTGAGGTAAATTAGCCATTAATATATTGTAGATGGTGTGTGTGTATGCACACAAATCCATTCAAGAAGTTAACTCACGCTCAAATATTTCAGTCAGTACTCCTTTAAGAACTTCCACCATGCGAAGATTAATGTATAACACCCTGCACAAAAAATATCCGTATCTGAATCCTGAAAGGGGTGAAGAGATGTCAAACAAGATACCGCAGCAAAAAACAAAGAAAAAAACACGCACATCTGTTGATAGATATGTGGGGCTTAACGTCCTAAACCACCACATGATTATGAGAGACGCTGTAGTGGAAAGCCCAGAAAATTTCGACCACCTGGGGTTCTTTAACGTGCAACCAAATCAAAAGCACACGAGCCTACAAAATTTTCGCCTCCATTGAAAATGCAGCCGCCGCAGACGGGATTCGATCCCGCCACCTGGGGGTGAGCAGCCGAGTACTTTAGCCACTAGACCATCGCGGCAGGGCTCACGTGCAGCTGTGTCAGTGAGAAAGCTTTTCACTATCATGTTCCATTTTGGCTAATTTTCCGTACTGGATGGTAGTGATACCATATATGTGGATAAGCAGCCCTGCCACGGGATAGCTCGAAGCATGTTAATTAGTTGCTCAATGAACCCTTTTTATAATTTGCAAGTGCGCTTCTCTGCACTGCATACTTGAATAAGTAATGGTGGCACCTGATATGCTTCAAGCAAAGGTGCGGTCCTAGCTTAGCGTCCCGGAGCTTGTCTACTACAAGTGTTTATATCAAGAGAGGCGACTCAACACTTTCCACATCATTGTGTAAGCAAACCGCGCTTGAACAGGGTATTTACGCTGTATGACAAGCCGCCATCTTTTCTTTTGATTAAAGAGGCCTTGAACCAGCTTTTTAAGTAATCATAGAATGACCTCAAGTACTGAAGCTAATTGCATCACAAATCAATGGCTGCCAAAATTTCTGAAATACCTGAAGAACAAGCAGAGTTATCATGATTTGTCACATGCTAATCTTAAGGGGCTCATCTTTTTTCTCATCTCGACAAGCTGAGTGGAAGTTACAGTGGCACTGGGAAAATAAGTTACACCAGTGTGCACCACGACCTTGAGTGCATGTGACTAAGGATGATAATGATGATGATGTGTGGTGTTTTAAGGTGCAAGGGCCATTTGATGGCCAAAGAGCACCAGGTCAGTCGACAAGTGATGCAAACAATGATTATGATAGGTGGCTGTAAAAGGGCCTTAAAATTCTTCGCGTCCTTTTCCACCCAGTCCAGATGCTTGCGGAATGAACTTAGCTGTAGCTTCAATAAGAAAAGCAGTAAAATATTGTACAGTTACATCTAAGCTAGAACCACATATGTCAGTCCAACTTAAGCTAACAGCCTTGTAAAACGGGTCCCAATCGGCTTTCTCTATCAGCCAATCGGGAACCTGTGGAGGACATTTATTTGGTAATGCTGAGCTCAGAACTACAGGATAGTGGTCACTTCCAAAAGAATTATTAATGACTTTCCAGTGAAGTAGGGGAAGAAGCGTTGGAGATACAATGCTTAAGTCGATTGACGAGTGGGTATTGTTAGCGAGGCTATAATATGTTGCCTCTTTCCTAGTGAGGAGACACGCGCCAGAGGAGAAAAGAAACTGTTCAATCAGACAAGCTCGCGCATCGCAGCGCGAGTCACCCCACAGACTACTATGTGCGTTGAAATCTTCAAGGAGAAGATACGGTTCTGGAACTTCATCAATCAACGCCTGGAATTCTTGTTTACTAAGTTGGTGCTGAAGAAGTATATGAACAGAGCAAATTGTGACCAGTTTATTCAAGATAACGGCTTGGACAGCTACTGCCTCAAGAGACGTCTGAAGTGGTAAATGTGTACAGGCAGTTCCTGAATCCACAACAATGGCAATACCACCGGATGACACGACTGCATCATTTAATCTTTTCGAAACATAACGTAATAGCGTAGAAAGTTTGTGTGTTTCGGTTTCAAGTGTGTCTCTTGTACACGCAGCACTTTTGGTGTATATTTGTGTAAAAGTTCTTGAATATCGTCAAATTTCTTCAGCAAATCTCAGACGTTCCACTGTAATATTTGTGTCATTTTTAATCTGTGTGGTGCTGTGTGTACAAAAGTGTTGCCTTAGGTTACAGGGTCCTTAGGAGGCCCTGTAATGCGTAGTCTTTCTTCTTTAGTGTGCTCCAAAGAGCTGCACCTCTCCTTCGGCGTCTGGGGTGCTGGAAGAGTGGGACTTGTATCCATTGCCTCTTGTGAGGTGGCGGATCGTGCCTGCTCGACAGACACAATCACGGTGCTTTCGAGCCTCACTGTGCTTGCAGTGGCCCGGGTCCGGCAGACTGGGGAGTCTGCTGGCCCTGTTTGTCAGGTGGCAAAGCAGTACTGACTGCTCCAGCCGGGGGCACTTGTGGCGTGCCCACAGTCTCACTCTGTGTGACTTCTGCGGGCACGGAAAGATGCGGCACAGCGCCCCGGCGCGTCACATCAGCGAAGGAGGGACTGGACTGATGGATGGAGAACCACTTACGTGCTTCTTGAAAGGACAGATTGAACTTCACTGTAATCTAAAGGATTTGTTTTTCTTTCTTCCAGATAGGGCATAATCTCGAGTAGGCAGCATGGTCTCTTTCACAGTTCGCACAGCATGATGTTGTTGAGGTACATGTATCTGATGCGTACTCGTTGGATGCACATTTTGCGGAAGTAATGCGCCCTCTGCAGCTTTGCGACTCATGTCCAATGCGCTGGCACTTGAAACATCTGCGAGGGTTTGGCACATAGGGCCTGACACGGAGCTTGCAGTAGCCAGATTCAATTTAATCAGGTAAATGTCAGTGGTACCAAAGCTGATGATTATGTGTTTTGTGGGTGTTTCTTTTTTGTCTTGTCATATAATTATTCTTTGGACCTTGACTACATTCTGGTCTGGACAGCCTTTCAATAATTCCCTTTCGGACAGCCCAAGCAGGTCGTCATCAGAGACCACACTGCACACAGTATTCATTGACTTGTGTGGGCCCACTGAAACTGGGACATCCCCAAACGCTACCAGTTTGTGTAAGTTGTTGTATTGGAGCTTGTCGCAAACCTCCAAAGGTCGCCACTTCCTAACTTGGTTACAACGATATTCTGGGCTGATTACTTCGGTGAATGTTTTCGAGACAAGAAAAGATGAGATTGCTTAGGACTGTTTTGTTCTCTTTCTGGCTATGCACAACATGAAACTTGAGGAAAGACTGCTTCGGTTTGGAAAAAAAGGAAAGGTTGTTCGGTGTGCCACTTTTTTGGGAGGCGATCAGGGAGAGGGGGGAAAAAGTGGGCCATACAGATTGTGTACAGTTCGGCGGCGCTGGTGGCCACCCACCATCGAGACCAACAAGGTTTAATAGTGAACACTTGGAGAGGCCAGCCATGCATCGCCGCTATAACCAAATATAACTACCCAAGGTTGGGTAACTACACAGAATTAACCCTCGCCACCAGAAAATTTGGAAGTAAAGGGAAAACAGAAGATGACAGGACAGTTAAAAGTAAGAAATAAAGACGAAGATGTAGGAAGAGAAGATAGGAAAAGGCGGCAGCCGATTTCCCCTGAGTGGGTTAGCCCAGGGGTGCCGTCTACGTGAAGCTGGGGCCAAAGGGCCGTGTTGACTCTGCCAGGAGGCTTTAAAGATCTAAGCACCCAGCGTCAGCTGAACCCCCAGGGTCCCCTTTTCCCCGAACACCGCTTAGCCATGCACGGCTAAGCGTGGGAGAAAGTCGAACCCCCCCCCCGTTAGCTCGGGTCCATTTTGTCGCTACACACCAAAGGCCTGCTTACGCAGACGCCCCTGCCCCTGCGGGGGAGTGCATGTAACCAAACCCAAGAGTTCTCTCCCACTGTGAATACTGCACTCTCTAGTGTGCCTCCTGTGTAATGTTAGTAGACTATGGAGCATGGGGCAAGCATGTGGCACCACCCCATGGGAAGAAGCACATTTGATCCAAATATTTTATTTATACTGGCTACTGACCAAAACAGCATGCACCATGTTGTTTGCCATCAAACAGGCAGCGACAGCTTTGAAAAGAGTGAGCGCAGGCCTTTTTATGAAAAATGTATGCTTACGAAAATGGGACCTTCGTGGTGCTCCGCTTGTAAACTCTTCATTGATTGATTGATATGTGGGGTTTAACGTCCCATAACCACCATATGATTATGAGAGACGCCGTAGTGGAGGGCTCCGAAAATTTCAACCACCTTGCCGTGCTCGACTGCAAGATTTGGCTGCGCTTCTTACGGTGTCTACTTTCTACAAGTTTTTCTTTAAACCAAGCACAACGGGGGCTTCATTACCCCATTTGCGACACAAATCAGCACTTTCCTGTGCCGAGTCTCTCTGTATCACCATTCCACCTTTGTATCACCATTCCACCTTATGTTTTTGTTCAATGCGCTTTTTTTTTTAGAAAGCAAGTGAAAATAAACTTCACTTACACATCCATCCTCGGTAGCTGAGTAAACTGCGAAGTATGATTTGGCGAAGTTTCATAAATACAACGGACAGCACCACACTGATGAAGCAAGCAACTATGATGGCCCTAACGGTGGCCGGTAGTTCTGAAAATAAAACAAGGATAATGTTGTTAGTATCACATAACTTGGCTAACGTATAAGCAAGAACAGTATCTCCAGTAGTGTTTAATCTATTCAGAAACAACACATGCTTTTAGAAGCCCTTGGCATATGCTCGTGTCCAGAGGTCTAAGCTTTCAAACAACTACAAAAGAAATTATTTCATCAGGAGAGCTAGTTGGAATACCATACTGCAGGGCGTAGCCAGGAAGTGGCACACCAGGCACATGCCCCCCCCCCCCCCCCCCCACCCTCTTGAAATTTTTTTCCCATAGCATAGAGCGAGAAATGGACACTTTAAGGGGGTGCCCGTCCCGAAATCAAGGTGGTTCCCCTGCCCACCCGAAAAAAAATTTCTGGCTACTTGCCTCAACCACTTCCCGAAAACAAAAAGATCATTTCATCAGCCTGCATATAGTGCAGCAAGGCCTTACCAAGAAGAAGAATGCTGTGCCATTTTTATTCCACAGTTAATAAATGACTAAGCCTTTCAATTAACATTATCAAAAGTTGTTACAGAACACACAGCAGCTTCAACGACAGAAAAGATTCACACGACACTTCTTTTGCTACAGCATAGATGTGATTGATAGGGTACCGATGAATCAACGTAAGACTCGCTTAAAGAGTAGCCTCAACTGAATTATTTCTTCTTTAATGTCAAGCTAAAATTACACTGAACTCGTAGCTTACCATGAGGCACATGAAGTTTGTCACCAGTATCCCAGAAAAGCTCTTTGATTGACTCGGCAACCTCTATGTCTGACAGCATAAAGAGGAAAACTAATACGCAAAGTATGCAGATATTGTGCACAGACGTTGGCCACATGCCATTGCTGATGGAATTCCTGTGTGAGGAAGATGAAAAAAGGACAATAAATTTATAAGTGAGAAAATAAGAATGTAGCAAGCTGGCATACTACACTGATTTTCACAGAACAAATATTCTACGACAGCCCAAATGCACAAGTGTCTCTTTAGTCATTGTTATGCAAGCAAATTAGGCTGTTCCAATTAAAGGACCATTAAAATTACATTCATGTTTTTTTTTTTCCTTGCACTAAATGGAAGACCGAAGCCTCTACACTCTCGAAAAAAGAAGAGGAAAGCATCACGATATCCCAAATAGTTTACTGTGATACTTGTTTTTAGAGGCCAGACATCCTGACCACAGCGACATATTAGATTGTTTCATTACCACAGCTGTCACAGGAAAATGTTTTCAGCCGCAAGAAATGTACCCAGCATGCATGTATTTGAGCAGCGCGATCTTCCTATCAAGCTTCAATGCCACACGATAAGACCAAATCTGGCTTTTTGATGATAATATTGTCAGTATCGAAAAGCGGTGGCGTTTAGGGACCAACAACTAAGTTATATAAGTACGACACTTTTTATGTGTTCCTCAACATTCACAAGTGCAAAAGGTCACACTTTTGCAATTGAAAATTTGTGTGGTTGATATATTGTGGCTTCACAAGTGCACCTTCAAAAAGGTAACAGAGTGACCTACTTTTTCTGAACTAGAATAAGCCAAAAGTTTCATCATGTAAGCTAGGTGCTGCAAATATGCTGACCTTAGCCTATGAGTAAGTAAATGTAAACAAAGGTCTGGACAAACAATGACTACAGGTGTCCTAGTGAACAATGAAGACCTACGGACACGCTCTCAAGAAGTTTGCAATAACAAAATGTCCATAAGTAAAATATCAGTGCATGATGACGCTGAAATAAAAATGTCGACAGACCAATTAAATTCCTGACAAAATAATATCCTCAAAACTGTAAGCTACAACAGGTCCAAGTGGCTGTTATTCAATCGATTTGATTGATATGTGGGGTTCAATGTCTCAAAAGCACCATATGATTACGAGACACGCCGTAGTGGGGAGCTCCGGAAATTTCGACCACTTGGGGTTCTTTAACAAGCACTCAAATCTGAGCACACGGGCCTTCAGCATTTTCACCTCCATCGAAAATGCAGCTGCCGCAGCCGGGCCTCCATCCCACGACGTGCGGGTCAGGAACCGAATACTTTAGCCACTAGACCACCACAGCAGGGCTTGGCTGTTATTCAAATACTCATCTTGTTCTCCTTGCATTTTGGTGTTTGTTCTGAAGAATGAGCAACTTTAAAATTCGTTTGCAACCTTTCATCATAAGTCCTTCAAACTATGCCTAGATTTGCCAGAAATATGTATCTTAATTGGGGGAAACTTCACTTATGACAATGTTGATACTGTTATGTAATACAAGCTTGGCTGCACCAAACATGATTATTAACCTGAAAACGGTCAGTAAACTAATGCATAAGTGGCATTGACTTACACACAAGTTAGGCTTTCAACCTAAACATGCAGTGATTTGTTTTGTAAAGTTTAGAAAAAAGCTGATATGTAAGCTCTGATGTTGCACCAAGGTACCAAAAATATTTGAAGTTCGCTGACAGAGACGCTGCGAGATCTCACTCGGACGTTTTATCTAAGAGCACAAGAACCGTAATATCAGTGACGCTCAATTTTATCGCGTAAACTGTCGACAAAGCATTGATCGGCGTCGCGTCCAGGAGTTCTGATATGTTAAAGCATAGTTTGAATGAGCCGTCGTATTGCTTGCGCTATTCCTGAACTTACATGTGACAATCTCATTTGATCTTCAGCACCATAACGAATATGTTGACAAAAATGTGGGAGCGCGAACTAATTATTATCATCGATAAGAAATTAGCCGCAAAAAATCGGAGGCGCTTCAGGCTGCGATGCTTGAGCCATGCAGCATTTATTTCAGACATCCCAACGCGGGAAACAACGCCAGCAACAAGTAGTACTACATGCGGCTCCAGTTTTCGGAGTGTTCTTGGGGGCAGCGACCGACAAGCATAACCCAACAGGATCGCTAAGCGGTACATGAAACCCCAACACTTCTCATCCACCAGCACAAAATGTCAGCAAAAAACTCTTCTAACTTTTTCACGTAGCCCAGCGGCGGTGACATACATAACGTGCATGTCGTTCACAGCACGACCGGCTTGTGGTTAACAGCTACTGTGGTAAATCGAATGGTTACAACCGGTTTGACGTACATTGTACTGTACCTTATCGTTTCAACTACGACAGGAAGCGAGTGCATAGGCCATGTGCGCATCGCCATAGTGATGCGATTTAAGTCTCTGGTAGCACCGTGTTTGTAGTACAGTAATCGAACAGGAAGGGGCAGAAAAAGGCCCCCCCACTTGTTTTGACAAACTGCACAGCTGCATGGTCCCGCAGAACCACCCATCTCACGTCGGATGAAAACAACGCACTCACCTGACGCGATGATATTTCCGCACGGCAGTCCTCAGCCATACCCGAAAGATGTTTTCACAGGAACTTCGTTCGCGCACAATTTCGCGCACTTGTAGTCCCGCGACGGCGCTTCTGGCTTCTGCCATCTTCGAATTTTGGCTACGTCGTCCTCAAACTTTCCGAGGCAGCGTCGTCAGCGAGCGGAAAGCGGGACAGCCGAGAGTCGAAGGCAGCTTGGATCCTGCACAGGGCACGACGCTCTTGACTCGCTACTGACAGGCACTCGACTGCACGCATGCCCCCCCGCGCACAACGACTCCGGGTATCAAAGAGCACAACAGAGCAACTGAGGCTGCGCGACGCTTGTGGTCTGAATTTACATTAGTTGTACGGCGGCCCGTCCTTCTCGAGGAGGAAAGCTTTCACGAGCAAGCATTTCCCCTGCAATTTGCCCAGAGCCTCACCTTGGCGTGCTGCGTCCACGAAGGGCAGCCGGGCAGCAACAAAAACACAAGGTGCTCCACTCTCTCCGCCGCGGCTGGGATCACGTGAAGTACGTGTCAGGAGCCCCTCAGCGATGGATCATACCGCTTCTGGAAGCGCGAGCGATAGAGGTCTCAGCTCTTATGACACCATTCCGCCGCGCATCCGCAAAATTAGATAACTGTGCCGCTGCTCCATTCCGACCGCTGTCCCGCTCCGTGAGTCACATGTTCGATGAAGTCAAATATCGAAGCTTGGAAACATGCCATGGCGAGCACGCTTTGCGTCCATTTTAGAAAACTATGTTTTGCGTTATACAAAATTGCAGTTGTGCGCAAAGTTTTCTGAGCACTCCGATAACAGTAGAAAACTTATTCGCTTGCATTTAGCAGCGGCTACTAGAAAAAATGTGACATATCCTTCTTCTTGCAACTTTCTTATTTTAAAAACAAAAAATATTAAAAGCTATAAAAAATTTCGACCAATCGGCACTCAAGGGGAAAAAATTACCAGAGTCCTACTTGATATTTTGAAAAGTCTGTGGCAACTAGTGAAACAAAACATTTTTAATGTTTCGGTTTCACTTTCAAAAGAGAAACCAAGATGCAACTTGTGCGCGTATCGAGTTTCATCGTTGCTTTCATGTGTTCACTTCACCCAAGTATTTCCCTCTACTAAGTTCCAATTAATTCTGTCCTTTGAAAATTTTGCCTTACTAGCATATTTAAAATAACAAACAGCTGCACAACTGTGCTAATGGGATGGATGCGTGAGTTGCACGCAAAGAGAGAGAGAAGTGGTTGTCACTGTTGCAGGTATCGAAACAGTGGGCTCATGGCAAAGGAATGCGAAATCAGCGTTGGCCTGAAGGAAAACGGCAGTGTCGTGGTGATGCCAGCGTAGACCGGCAGGTGGCTATATGACAGCTGGCAAATCGTACAATGCACGCGAATGTATGCAGGTCGCTTAATTAATGCGCCACTTGTTTGCGTTACGGTAAGGTACGGCACTGTGCCGTGCTCCCTATCAGGCTACAGAAATTAGGCGCCTTTTTCTTATTCCAACCACTACCACCACAACATAAATACTGCTATAGGCCCTTGAAAACGACGTATGGATAACAACGTTAAATAAATGAATGCTGGGCTTTACATTCAAGAACAATGGTGCGCGATTATACAAGGCACGATGTACACTGGATACTCCTAACTAGTTCACTATAGAGTTTAGGGTTTTCACTATAACCATGATTCCTGAAGTGCACCTCAATATAAGTACATGGGTATTTGTCCCACTCGACCGTGCCGCACAATTAAATGGAGGAGAACTCGGCTTCCGATGACCAGTTGTGAGCCTCAAGGGCCGTACATCGACAAGAAAAGAAACATGTTTTGCCTTCGAGTCGTATTTGGTCATTGCACTAGGGAACCTGTCACTTCTGCAGGAGGGGCCTTCGGCGCTTGCTCGATGGAAGGTCACAGGCGATCAAACTCCTAGTTGCCATCTCTTCTGTTGTTTCATTGCTCTATTAGCTCCCTTCCCCGAAACATCGCCACAGAAGCTAACGCCGTTATCAACCACTCCTCCCACATCCCCGACTCACGATAAGGCGTGAGTGCCATAGAGCTTCCTAAATATACATGTGAGCGCTACGTTCGGCTGCAGCGATTCCAAATCGCTGCTGATGCTTAGTGCGCAGCCGTGGAGATGTTGCGGAATACATAGCCACGTGCACGAGCCCTTTTCCGCAACCGTTGCGCAGTTACACAAGAGGGCTTTCTTTAAATTATTTATCTGTTTCTTCTATAGGACGGGTAGCATAACGTATTCAGTGACCTTTTTAGAGTGCACGATGAATCGCGTTGTTTTTGAGGATAACATAATTTCGCAAACTGGTCTTCCTGTCACTCCTTCGCAATACTCTTCGAAGACATGAAGACAATACCTAGGAGAAACTACATTGCTTCGAGTTTCATGCATAACTCGAATTAGAAATGTTTTTTTTTTCGTACCGGAGCTCTTAGGAGGAAAAGAAAGCAACAAATAAATGACCCGTCACACACGACAGGATATGCGACGGCATTTTAAAGACACGTGCCGAAAAGTGGAGGGATCTTCGTTGCGACACGACAGAGCTCGTCTCGCCACCTTATTACCATTCGAATGTACGTACTCGTTGGTGAGGAGGGTGGCATTCGCATTATCAGTCTCGCAAGAGCGAAGCAAGAATTATTTTTTTGTCCTCGGATGTGTGGGTAGAGGAGAGAGTGTTCCACCCTCTAGATATATGTTCGTGCGTGTACTTCTTCGTCTGCGAATATACGTAAACAAAGAGTGAAAATTGCGAAGGCAGGTAGGTTCGCAACCTCAACCCTCTCACTACGTCACAAGTCTGCTCAACCACCCGACGTATATGGACGTGCGGATATCCAAAATTTTCAATAGCCGTCTCATTCGACTCTGCTTAAGTGAAATGGTCACTACATATACGTGAATGCAGATATCTCACAAACAATTTTCAAGTGCTTCTTATTTCAATCTGCACACGAATGAGCTAGAAGTGGGCAGGAAACGATGAAGTAATTTCATTCGTGGGTGGGAAAGTCACAAACAGAGGAAGAAGTCACAGCTCCGCCGCGAGTACACGAATCAATGAATGCTATTAACAACATTGTGGAATCTTATAGAAAGTAAGGCTAGCAGCTCACTCCGTTAGCATGTGACCTGGCGTAACTCAGCAAAACACTCTAATCAGAAAATTCAACCACTGCAGAGAGTTAAGCGAGCTTGGTGCTGTACATGGCTTCAAAGCAAACGTTGCTATGAGAACGCAACACGTATACAGTGTGAGCCACTTGCTGATCTCTTTGAAGACACGGCACGCCCGACAACGCTCGGTCAGTCAAAGTAGTCAGAGTACGCATGACAATGCCTGGTCAAGTTACGGCTACTACAGAAGCAGCTGGTAATTAATTTCTACTTTAGGTTCACGGGACGAGAAAGTACGTGAGTTCGTTTGTTGTTGTTTATTGATATGCGAGTCTTAACGTCACAACACCACCATATGATTATGAGAGACGCCGTAGTGGAGGGCTCCGGAAGTTTCGACCACTTAGGGTTCTTTAACGTGCACCCAAATCTGAGCACACGAGCCTACAGCATTGCCGCCTCCATCGAAAATGCAGCCGGTATTAGATCCCGCGACCTGCGGATCAGCAGCCGAGTACCTTAGCCACTAGACCACCGCAGCGGGGCTCGTTTGCTGCTTAATATTTCATATTATTATTATTATTATTATTATTATTATTATTATTATTATTATTATTATTATTATTATTATTATTATTATTATTATGCACGAAAACACAAACAGGCTGACAACTGCCACCTAAAATGGCACAGCACCTGCCTGCTCTTTGGGGAAGGGGAGTTAAACAGATGATAGCAGTATAGAAAAGAAGAAATAACAGAGACGTAAACCTTAATTAGTAGACATGTGCAAAAATGCGAGACTAAATCGATTTTTTGCGCGAAAATCAGGCTCTAAAGTATAGGTGGCGTTGGCTCTACGGGCCCGGTCAAGCTGAGCAGCGCATCCTCCTGGGAACAGACAGTCATCAAGGGTCGTGCACACATTAAGTCCACATTCCCTGCGAACCGTGCCCGCTGCATAACGAATGCGGGAGACTCTTATATCAGGCACTCAAGTGTCTCACAAGAGCCACAACCAACCGTCCACACGTCCTTGAAGATATAATCGTTCACGCGGCAATACAGCGCCAAGTATCATACTCTTCACGACGAGGCAGTCCAGGTTGGATATCCACGGTACGTGATAAACCGTGCACGTTTCGGTAACATCTATAGCAGTTATAATGATGATCGCACTGCATGTAAATGAGTACGTGCTAGCTGCTCAAGATTACCGGTCCAATTTCTGACGCGTACGATCATCGCACCGCATCCAAACGAGCACCTCAGTCAATGACGGTACGCATGTCACGAAGGGATAGCCATACACTACCCTGTCGTCTATTTCCTCATTGTTGTACTGCAACACGATTTAGCTGCTCATCTATGGGTGCCCAGCTTCGCAAAGCCTTTATTTTTTTTTTTTTTAAGTTCTGTCCAACGTGGGAAACGTCGTTCTGCGATTCTTGCGCAAACTATAAGCAGTGCATTCCCACGCCATTGACCCCTTCCCGCTTTTGTTGGCACGGCTCGAGCGCTGGCATGGAAACGGGTGTAAAACAATTTAAAAAGAAAACTAGTGAATTATTAAGGTGCACAACCACGGCGCTTTGGGGCCACGTGCTTTACGACTGCGATAACGGTACCGGTCCCGATTTCTGCAACCATAAGCGAAAAACGAGTGCTAGAATTTCACATTTTTCTTCGAAATGATATAGAAAACGAACTATAGGACTTACTCGTTCTTTCCTTGATGCGAACAACGATATGCAAGTTGGGCCGTAAGCTTTCAGTAGCGATGGGAGCTGTACTGGACAACTTGCAAGGCACTGTCGACTGCTAGTGCATAGAATGTCTGTGTAGGTTCCTCCATTCTCTTTCTCGTGAAGTCCGAAGAGTCATGTCTGATGCATGCTGATGGGCGAGCAGAGCACAGGCGATCAGGATGGTGTGCGCGTGTTTGTGGTGGAGAAGGGGTTGGGAGTGAGGTTGCAGATATAGGAAAAACGCGTTCTCAGCACAGCCCTAGTTGGGAGCACGGCTGAGTGCCTTTTGTGGTGGTGGTGGTAGTGGTTCGGTGAAGAAGGAAAAAGACGCTTATTTCTGCAGCCTTTAACCTTTTGTAAGGGTGCCCCGCCGTGGTGGTCTAGTGGCTAAGGTACTCGGCTACTGACCCGCAGGTCGCGGGTTCAAATCCCGGCTGCGGCGGCTGCATTTCCGATGGAGGCGAAAATGTTGTAGGCCCGTGTGCTCAGATTTGGGTGCACGTTAAAGAACCCCAGGTGGTCGAAATTTCCGGAGCCCTCCACTACGGCGTCTCTCATAATCATATGGTGGTTTTGGGACGTTAAACCCCACATATCAATCAATCAACCTTTTGTAAGGGTGGGCACGCACCCCGAAAGGTGGCTTCCCCTCTCACTACTTCTCTCCCTATCTTTTCCTCCTTTCGTTCTCCCTCTATACAGACGATCACTCGTACCAGAGAACATGTTCCATGTTGCAGACGGTTGCGTCTTTTGTTCGTTTGTTCGTTTGTTTGCTTGCTCGTTCGGCACATACTCACTCAGGGGGATTGGCTAAGAAAGCACATTGTAACCTTTAAGGGAGAACTACAGCATCTTCCCTCCTTCATCGTCTTTCTCTTAATCCTGAGATGGTGGTGGTTAGGCCCCGAAATCCTGCCGAACGAACCCCGAGCGGAGACAGAACGGACGTGCGTAGTCTAGTTGTTAGTACAGCCTTACTGCTGTCTCTTTCTGTATTTTCACTTACTTCTGAATACCTCGTTCTTTTCGAGTCTTGCCCTCGGATGCACCATGCACCGACTCGCACAACAAGCCACGAATTCTAAGAAGGAATATCGCCTTTTCCTTTCCTTCAACCTCTACTCTCTTCTTGAGCCTAACGCTTTTTTTTTTTCTTTTTCTTTCGGCGCACAGCTTTTTTGTGCGGGTTCTACTACCGCTATGACCGGCGTTCTCACCACGCATTAGTCAGCCATTTAAAAAGGAAAAGGGTCAAAATAAATAGGTAAATAACGACCATCCCATATATATATATATATATATATATATTCAATGGGCCAGTTAGTCTTTGTGAAGGTATGGGATATGGCACAACGGGAGCGTTGTCAACAAGGATAAATATATTTATTTCCCAAAAGTTTCGGGAGGGGTCCTCCCTTCATCAGGGGATGAGTTATCCCCTGATGAAGGGAGGACCCCTCCCGAAACGCTCCCGTTGTGCAATATCCCATATATATATATATATATATATATATATATATATATATATATATATATATATATATATGTGTGTGTGTGTGTGTGTGTGTGTGTGTGTGTGTGTGTGTGTGTGTGTGTGTGTGTGTGTGTGTGTGTGTGTGTGTGTGTGTGTGTGTGTGTGTGTGTGTGTGGTTAATAGTTTATATCTACCCAGGGACGGTGAGAACATACATGGGTAATTTAAATGCGAGAGCGTTAAAAAAAAACTGGCATCGGCAGCGTTGACTTGACGAATGCAAATACCAAATATCGCGGTCCCACCTCGAATCGAAGCCAAACATGCTGCGCGGCAATCAAGTATTCTACCACAGAGCCATTCCAGGTTTGCAAACTGCTTCGTGATAAGACGCTTTGCAGGCGCACTAATAATGAAGCTTCAATATATAGTGGTTGCAGTTTTGAATATCTAATTAAATAAACAATTACGTATGTACTCCTACGATACTGGCGTCATGTCGATTTAACGTCAGTTGATCTACGTAGCACTAGCCAGGGCTACCAATAAGTCCAGCACGAGCGCTGCATATCAACTTACCGCTTCTGCTGTTGGTAATCTCCCGGCTGCGGCGGTTGCATTTCCGATGGAGGCGGAAATGTCGTAGGCCCGTGTGCTCAGACTTGGGTGCACGTTAAAGAACCCCAGGTGGTCAAAATTTCCGGAGTCCTTCACTACGGCGTCTCTCATAATCATATGGTGGTTTTGGGACGTTAAACCCCACAAATCAATCAATCAGTGCTGTTGGTAATGCCCATGTTGCTATTGGCATCATTACGCAACTGTAGACAGCTGATTATGTAAGACATATGGGACCGTTCAACATATGTCTGTACGTACAACGTTTGTACGCCGCTTTGAAACGTTACATCACACTCGGCTACCCTCCAGATACTTCGCGCAACGTCCACGGCACGTGGGATCTGCCGAATGTTTCGCGAAAGTTTTACTATGCTTGACAGCAAACTTTCAAAATAAAAATAAAAATAAAAATATCATCATTGAGTACAGTAAAGAAAAAAAACAGAGGCATAGAAGGCATCAATGTACCACGGAATAGGGTAGTTAACTAATTATGAAACAGATAAGATGGACTTCTGTCCTGCATGTATTTGGTAAAGAAAAACAGAGATTGCCCTCTGTTGCTCTTGTTTATGAAGACGGTGATAGCGGTAGTAGGAACTGCCTGAGCCAGCTGTTCACTATCAGCAATCCCGTAGCCAGGATTTTTTTTTTTTTTTTATGAGGGGGTTGGGGGATGTGGAGTACTTGTTGGAGGTCTTGATACTTAAGAGAAACACCTGTTTTCTTAATTTATTTTCGGCAAAACAGTCTCATCCATTAGAATTCCGGGGACAGCCCGGTTACAAAAAACAAATGTGCAGTAATTGACCCACTTAACGGGGAATATCTCAAATGATGTAAATGTGGAAAATTATGAAAATATAATGTACAAGAATCTTGCATAAAAAATTACACTATCTTCCCGAAGGGTACTGTGGAGTGATGTGGAGCATCGCGGATGTGCAGCGCGAGAAGTCTTTTTTTTTTTTTTTTCAACCAAGAAATTTGTTAGCAGACGCTGCTTGTGTCAACGTTACTAGAATGACCTGCGTCGACCTTGCGAGGCAGGAGAAGGGGAGCGCAGGAGAGGAGAGAGAGAGAGATAGGTGGGAGCAAGCAGGTGGTAGGAGACAAGTGGAGATAGTAACGCATGGCTGTTGGAGAGAAGGAAGGAGGAGAGTCGCGCATGCGTAGTGTGAATGTGGAATATGGACGCGTGACATACCCCGAGAAAGAGATGTTCTGCATCTAAAAAAAAAATAGCGGAGCTAGTTGACCAGCTGCTTTCAAATTTTTTTCTCATGATGGCCTATAGCACCACAGACGTCTTGGCCTCCCACCCTCTACCTTCTCATCGTTTCTCACCACCATGCGACAGGATTGCACATCCCAACACAAAATCCTGCCAAAGCCCACGCCCCAATACTGGGTTCTTTTTTTCTTCTTTTACCTTAATGCGAGAACACATTCATTCGGTCGTAAATATAGTGTCTCCCGTCAATTAATCTAGTTAAACGTACTCACGTTGATGCTTTAAACTAATATCCCCGACGTTAAGCGACCGGGCCACCCAGTCCTGGTGGACACGCGCACGAACAAGGAAGTACACTCAGACACACCGAGCGGACGGAAGCGAAGATCGTCCAAGCGATTGGACACCGGTATTCGCGATTGGAGATGGCCTGTTTCGCAATCATCAACTGCGCAAATACGATGTGGCGCCGGCGGCTACACGCCAGAAACCGCGCACGCGCGTTTCAGCGCCCTCACCGCGAGGTATTCTCGCCGTTCGGAGTCGCTATCAGCATCGTTATCAGGAACCGCCCGAAAGCACGAGATCGCAAAGGAAAAGCACGCGGTGACAGAGCTCGCCAATATACGCCATTGTTCGAAGTCCCTCAATCTGCCCAGCCGGTGCACCGGCTTATCTACATACGTATAGTTATAAGCCAAGTACATTGAATGATAAGGGAACCCAAGCGTTCGGAATTTCCGCGCTGATTCGGCGTGCGCGAGTTTTGCGTTAAAAGAAACGCGAAAGTGAAACAATCAAACAATCAGCTTAGATTGGTAAAACGTGCTCTGAAGCTATAATAATAATAATAATAATATAATAATAATAATAATAATAATAATAATAATAATAATAATAATATAATAATAATAATAATAATAATAATAATAATAATAATGTGTTGGTGTTTAAAGTCCAAAAGCAACTATGATTATGAATAATGATTATAATGAGAAACGTTGTAGTGAAGGATGGATGATGGATGATAAATGAAAAACTTTTATCGGGGTCCTGAAGTATTGCACCCCCGTTTGATAAGGGTAGGACCACGGGCCGCTCCCACGTAGGGACGGGGAAGCCCAGCCTCACCGCCGCATCGTGGGCCTTCTGGACAGCCGTGAGTTGTTGTATGAGATCCGGACTCGTGAGCATTAAATGAAAGGAGTTTCGGGAAATTCTTCATTTTTTATTTATAAAGAGGGCCACCTCCAGAGCATGTGGTTAAAATCACTGCGATTCTGGCAGTCCGGACAAAGTTATCAAATATTGCAGTAATGGCTGTAGGTTACGAGGCTATAGGGCATATACGTTACCGTCTGAAGCTTGCGAAGAGAGGACTCCAGGAATTTCGGCCACCTGGAGCTCTTTAATGGGCACGTAAATCAAGCACGATACATTGTAAAGTACACGTGCCTCAAGGATTCTCGCCTCTATCGTAAATGCGGCCCAGTCGACTGCTCACCCGCAGGTCGCGGGATCGAATCCCTGCTGCGGCAGCTGCGTTGTCCGATGGAGGCGGAAATGTTTGAAGTTCGTGTATTTAGACTTACGTGCACGTTAAAGAATCCCAGGTGGTCTGAATTTCCGGAGTCCTCTACTATATACGGCGTCTCTAGATCATAATCACATCGAGGTTTTGGGACGTTAATCCCCAGATATTATTAAAGTTCGCGTCACCAGTCGAGCCCAATAACCACTAAACCACCGTAAGGTAGTTGAAAAACTATAAGACATCGTTAATTTCACTACGATGTGTTCATTAATAAAAAAGAAAATCGAGGTCACAGATTCAGCTTAAGGTGTCGCGCCGAAATCTCCATGCACGACGTCACGGACTTCGAATGTATTTTTCCTATGCCGGCGACAATGGTTCAACGCCATTTCCTGAAACTTCGTATATTTAGTCTGTGGCTCCATCAGAGAACAATACGCTCCATTTTCACTGCGCAGGATCCAGAATACGCCACCGACAATCTATGACGTCACGACGTATGAAGGCGGGAATTTCAAGGTGGTATCGCGGCTGTATAGCTTGGCGTAACGCGGGCAAAACAGCGAATAAATATGGGGGGAAAGAGGAAACAAGCTAGAAATAGAAAGAGAGCGAGATAAAAAAAAAAGAGGATAAAGAAGGAACAAATATCCAAGTAAGTAGAAATAAAGAGAAGGAAGAAAATAGACAGAAATGCCGGGAAAACGGGAAGAAAAAGAAAACTGAAGAGAAACAAAAAGGCTGCATGCCCAGCTTTACACGTACTTCGGACTTGACACCCATACAAAAAATAGCTGCCATAGCTTTTTTATTATTTTTCATTTTTTAATGTTTTCTCGCCTAACGCATGAATTTTCTTAAAGCAAACTACGGTAATTCGGAAGTGTGGCAGCTTGGGCTAGTTCATATGGTATGACGATAGTTATAGCGCGAGAAAGAAACGACGACACAGAGACAGTTAATAAGGACACGAAAAAGAAGGACACGTAATTCGGAATTGTGGGGAAAAAAAAAGTGTCTTGTTATGAAGAAATCTCGTTTTCCTCCTTACTGTGGCTTTAAGAGGTGAAAGTACTCGAGTCCCTCATTATTTCGCTTTCGACGTGCTTTCCGACCCTCATCAACTATATCTCGTCAATGAACACGAATCGCTTCAGAATCGAGCTACAAGGTTTACTCACCGTAGGCATGCACTCGTACGACGTCGGCCTATCAGCTCTGAAAGCAGAATCCCGATTATCATTACTCGAATCTCGTCGCCGCACTGCTGGCATTGGTCTTTGTCAAAAGCTTTGTGAGATAAGAGATAGAGAGAAAATATTTCATTGGATTATCCGATGGACGACTATCCTATAGCCCCGTGAGGGGAGGGTCATCGATATGCGGCCGCTCATCACCTCGGCGTGCAGGTAAGCCTCCGTACGAATCTTGCCAGCAGCACACATGTGGTTATACGAGCCGTCATCGCTTTCTTAGAAGCCACTGGACTGGATGCACGTCTGTGGAGTTACCCAGCCTAATAAGAACAGATCATCTCTCTACCTTACCATCGTCATTCATCACTCTTTCACTCCCAAGTCACCCTTCCCCAGTGTACAGTAGCAGGTCAGAGCAAACTATAGCTCAGGCCGACCTCTCTACCTTTCTGTAAATAAATTCTCTCTCTCTCTCCCCTGACACGTGCCTTCAGTAGCACAAATCACCCGAAACTAATTGCTTTCTTTTTGCTTGTACCTATGTTGCGGCTCGTACCCCCTAGGGGGGATCGACTATTAAACTGGCGGTTAATGTAACGGGGAAAAGGGAATTTCAAATTTTTATAAAGAAAAAAAAATAATTATTCAGTCATCTAGAGAATATAAAATTGGACCATCATAAGGCTACCTACGAATAAAATAGATAAAGAACTATTAATTTTGAGCCCACGTGTAGACGCCGTCACCTTCTCGCCTTCATTATTTGTTTCGTACAGCAACAGACTGAAACGGCCTTTCCAGCGAAAAAACAGCCGTAACCGATGCTCTATAAGATTTTTTTTTTACCACGTGAATACATTATTCCGCGCTATATTGAAACGTGGATGCATGTACCCACCCCTTACGCAATACCCCTTTCAATAAAATGAAATATGTGGTCACTCTAGAGCTAAGTCTGAGATATCTACCATGTGTAAAACATGTTCATTTCATTTCATTTATTTCGCCCTTAAAGGCCCGAAGGCATTACATAAGGGGGGACAAGTAACAAGATAGGGTACAATGTTCAACAGGAAAAAGCAAATAAACAAATAAAAAAGTAAATAAATAAATAAATGAATAAAAGCAAATAAGTTTACACAGGAGACAAGAATCAGACAACATGCGTGCATGCCCGTTGAAACACAGTGAGCTTGTTGCTTGATTGTTAGAGTTGCTTGCTCACTGCAATATCTTCGCTATACTTCCGCGTCCACAGAAAGCAACTGCCGCGGCCCTTCGAGATTTTTATCGCTCCATGATGGCATGGTCGTGCGCACGAGATAGCGCAAACGGTTGCATGGGTCACTTCAAGTTCCTGCACGCGTTCTTCAGGTAAGTCTCGCCCGCACTCCTTCCTGTGCTCAAATCTCAACGTATATATTGCTGTGTTCACCCGCAGCTCTTAGAAATCGGTCGTTTTCCGACTTATCAAACTACCTTATGACCCCCTTCAATATGTTTGTTAGCCCTCAGCGTGCTGTATTTCACCGTTACTTGCATTACGTTTTATCGGTTACAAGCGCTTGTGGTGTTCCCTTTCTTGTCCGTGTTTTTTCGCGCTACATTTGCGTTGTTATGTTTATAACACCGTGGTTTTCGGACCTAAAACCACACATATTAAAAAAAAAAACTTATAGTTTCATTTTCTGTGAACTGTATTCAATCCGCTCCTGCATGTACTCGAGAAGAATAAATAACTTTTGCGTATCATGTCGCTTTAACTTTTTTTTTATTGCAACATGTGGGTTGTCTATGTAAAACGCTCTTCAGTCCTTGACACAGTCCTTCGTGAACACACTTTCTACATCACAACGTTGTCTATTCAACTGTGTACACCCTTTTGAGAGATGGTTTTCGATCGCTGTGCTTGTGTGTAGCGCTCGAACCACGACAACATCCCTGGCCCTTGTAGAAAAACTATTGTACCTTATGCGGGAAAATAATTGCGCGTCACTTGAAAGGGACATAACGAAAACACAGCAACCAAAAAGCGCAAACCACCAACTGTTTTATTGGCCGCCGAACCAAATAGGCCACCTGTACAGGACCCTCAGCTGCTGACCAGCAGGGCGCGGGTTCGAATCCCTGCTGCGGCGGCTGCATTTCCGATGGAGGCGGAAATGTTGTAGGCCCGTGTGCTCAGATTTGGGTGCATGTTAAAGAACCCCAGGTGGTCTAAATTTCCGGAGCCCTCCACTACGGCGTCTCTCATAATCATATAGTGGTTTTGGGACGTTAAACCCCACATATCAATCAATCAATCACCTCTACAGAACCGTGTAGAAGCGCATAATTATGTTAAGTGCTGACCTTATCCACCAAAAAGGACATTTCTGCGCCGTAAAGCGATATCGAGGTCTCTCACACAGACATCACATTTCATTTTGACAAAACGATTCCGAAACTTCCCGAGCACGGGCGTTCTAGCTAAGTCCCCGTATTTTAGTTGGCTAAAATGGCGCCTCACATACACAGGCTCGCAGGCAGCCACTTCTGTTCCGTCATGCGCACTTCTGTACGGATGGCCACACAGCGTCATATCAACGATCAGTATCAATGGCGTTCTGCATTCAATAACACAGTTGGTAATTTGCGCATCTCTGCCTTGTGTTTCTTCTTCGTGGTGTTCCTTCCAAGTTACGTGCAATTAATTTTCTGCATGGAATGAACCAACTATAGCCCCTCAAGACATCCAGATCAACGGTTCGGTTCGAGTGAAAAATCTAAGCCAGGGCTTTCGCGTGGCAAGGAGGTGTGTCACAGAGCCACGTTATTCATCGAAACTGTTTTGAAAAAAAAAAAAGCACTATATATGGATGTCATACAGTGGTAAGAGCCTCCTTAATGCGTGTAATATTGCGAGGCAGAAACGTAACATATAGCGCCAGGCATGGGAATTGCGCAACGAGTCAGTGTTATTGAAGGCCCACGCACGAAGTGGTTGGACATAATTGATTATCATCGTCAGCAGCAAAAGCATCAATAAAGTGCGCAGCTGCGTAGGATCACGTGTTGCCTTACTACTTAAAAGGGCCCTGAAACACTTTTTCAAGTAACCATGAAATGAATTCGCTGGAAGAGCTTATTGCCTCACGAATCCAACGCCGCAAAAAATTTAAGAATACGTTCCGAGCGAGTGGAGTTACAAAGGTTTGTCGCATGCTGCAATTGAATTCTCTCTTCTCTCGTACCGATGAAAGCGCTGGAAGCGAAGCAGGGAGAGATGGCAGAGCCACAGACAAACGTCACGCGCGCTTTGCGACCTTGAGCACTTTTTATCTTTTTTTTTAATTCGGATGAGCGCCTTTTTGAGTGTGATCACGCGCTCATACGTGCACAAGTAGCGGCCACACGCGGCGATTCTTGTAACGAGCGCGCCATGTTCGAATTAGCCAATGGCTGATGTATGGGTCGTTGACGTGTGATTTTTGGGAATATAACGTGATTTGTCGAGGGGAGAGAAAGCAATTTTCAGCTGACTTTGATAATTTATCGTGAATTCCAGACCACGTGCTGCGCTATAACATTGAACTCGCGTGTTGTCGGGAGCCTCTACTACCGATCGGCAGAGTTTTCTGACCATGCTCAAAAAGTGTTGCAGGGCCCCTTTAAGTACACATAGTGTGCTATTCGCTGATTCGCAAAAGGGGAGAATCATGATTAAATGAGCACTGAGCAACTGCGGTGGGCGTTTTATGATAGTTTGAAGCAGCCAATGTTGTTTTTTATTAAATTTATATAAGAATAGGTTGATGCCAATGCGTGGCGCCAGATATACTTCTCTGCTCTTGCATAACAGTTGTGATCGCATATTAGAAAACAAACACTAGGTTATACAAAGGCACATATATATACTACAACACTCACGCACTGAGTCCAAGTTTTTCAATATGAAAATCAGTCCACAGAAAGAAGTAGTTAAAACACAGGTAATTACGAAATCAATATGCCCATAAAAAAGATGAAATTCATTGTTACGTTATTTCGCACTGCTTAAAAGACGAACACTCGGGACGAAAGACTATAGACGGACGCAAGCGCAAACTTTTAACTGAGTTTATTGGATGGACACATGACGCTTTTATGCAATCGCGTTTCATGGTTTTCAAAAAAAAAGATAGCAAAAAAATGAATTTCAAAACTTTTTAGACAGTACAATTTCAATGACCAGTCCTGCCGAGGAAACACGCAGCTATATATCGCACATCTTGCGTTACTGATTCAGACATCATTTCTTTCTGCGTTAGTCCCAAAGAAACCACACTGAAGCAGTCATCTTCCAGGCCGAATAATCTCGGACGCCTCAATGATTTTCCGCGTCGTGTGATTATTGTTCCCAGCGGCCACCTTAGCTTCACGGAAATCGGGCTGGCATCCGCAATTCCACAATGCAAGCCTATGATGGTCGTATACCGATTTATGCACAATAACTAACTAACTAACTAACTAACTAACTAACTAACTAACTAATCAAAGAAAAAAATCAAATAGATAAACATCGTGACCAGCGACTAGCCACCTGCATAACATGCATGAGATAGCTCACTGAGTTCTACTGTCTCATCATTTCCAAATGTCAGCGAAACACTAAGACCGAGAACCTTGGAGGTAGGTACATGGTTCCGAGTTCACCGGGGATTCGCGCCACGGGCGCCAGGGCATTTTATATGCCCGCGCCGCAGCTGGGTTTTCCTCCATACGCATACTCCCCTCCAGAAAGGTCGTATATAGAGGCAGAGCTCTTTTATCGGCGTCGAGTTCGTCGAGAGCCCACAGCGATAACGCAATGCCTACACACCGCGGCACGGCACTTGACGGCGGCGACGTATCAGACACCCAGGTGGGACCACGCGAAGCAAACGCGGGTGGCTCTTGATCAATCATGCTTTTTCTCCCCTTTCGCTCAAAGCGCGGATGCACGGTGACATTTCCCTCCTTTCTTAAAGACCGTTAGTCACGTCGCCTTTCGAATTAAGGCTGGCGACGAGAAGACGTCCCAGTAACAGGGCGCGAAGTACCGCGCAAACAGTCCCGACTTGTATTAGAAGAGCTCCGTCAGACATTGTAGAGTCCGGTTCTCGCATGACGCGCGGATCCGTGCGCCAAGTTTCGAAGTGAGTCGTCCGACAAACGGGAGCCACCACGAGATCGTCAATCGTAGGGGGTTATCGGAGGACTCCAGTATTGCCAAGCCATGGGTCGTGGCACCTACAACACGTGAGTACTGTGGAAGTTACTTTTTTGTGTTGTAACGTTCTCGCATCGTGCTTCGTGCAGTAATTTAGTCAGGAAATGCGAAGGGATAAATACAAAAGCTTCCTTTCGCTCCCTTGATTGGTCTCACGAAGATTGTTTCCAGACACGTTTGACAGATGGAGCAACTATCAGTGGAACATCATGGCACACGAGAGCAGCAAGACTGCATGTAACGAATTGCCTGAAGTAACATATGAAAGAAAAAAAAAAGAACGCAAAGATGGGAACAGAAAAACAAACACGATTGTGCGTGATCAACACAGCTGGTGTGATTATCCCCGTTTCCCAGTTGCTTTTGATAACGCAATGATTTGAAACCCAAGGAATCCGAGTATCCCCGATTGATGACGTTAACGGTCTTGTTGTTGCCTTCTCTGGGAGTGCTACAAAAGACAATAGATCGAACCTTCGTGGTCACTATCAACTTATTGTTGTTTGTTATCGGGGCGGTTTTTTTTTCTTTCGTACCTAACTGCGCACACTACATACGACGCCTCCCGTCCACGTATACAAGGTCGTCTGACATCCTGACGCTGCGAACATGAATATTTGAAACGATGACTCAACTGGCACGTGCGGCATAGGACAAAGCATTGGTGCAAGGGCGGTGCCATGGAGTTGTTTTACAAGAGGGGAGGGGGGGGGGGGCACGACGAGTCAGTTGCTTCGGGAAAGAGGAGGGGAGGCAGGGAAGCGATAAAACTTATGCGTTGTGTTTTGACCGTGTTTCCCCCCAAGGGGGAGGGGGTGGCAGGCAAATATTTGATGGAGAATTGGGTTGGGGAATGCTTTTCTTTAACACTATACTATATACCCTTGCACCATGTGTGATAACAGCCGCAGATCGCACGCAACACCGCAAGTGTGAACGTTAATTAAAACTGAAGAGAAAAACGTATACGTTATAAACAGAGCTGGATAGAAGACGCAGCAGCCATTAAACTATTTTTTTTTCTATCAAGGCGGATTACATGCAGACACAGATTCGATCAGATATTCAACGGTTGCAGGAGCGATATTTATTTCACGTACGCTAATTTTTGCCTTGCTCGTGCTGCAATAAATCCCCGCTTGTTCCTTAGTCGGTGCGCTCTCTGTCAGTGAGAGACAGTTCCTTGACCGTATCAAAATCAATAAGCGACAATGCGATAGGAAAGAGATAAAACTATGTTTTCCAAGCTGTGCTGCCCTATGGGGGAATCGACTGGTCGACTGTGTACGCCTACGGGACTTCTCTGCAACGTGCACCCTCGAAAATGCCGCGGATCGCGTGAACGTTCTTCAATGTCAGTATGAGCTGGCAGAAACAATCGACGATTGGGTGAGTAAACCGATCGTGAGGCATACGCTTCTCCCCACATTGCCTCCGTAGGACATTTCGCGTTCTTTTTTTCGTCTTGCAAGCCTTTGTACACCTGTACGCTGGATCACATCTCTCGTGACAACGGTGTTACGTGTCTAGCGACCGCGCTGTTAGGCGAGAGGTACGCTCTATAGAAGAACAGATCAGCAGGTACGTATGACATTCAGAACTCTCGACCAACGTACATATACACGCAGTTTCTTTCGCCACATATTTCTCGTTGCTACGTAACTCTTCAGACAAATGAAGCGTGCGCTTGAAACGTGTGATTGTGCACGTTTCATCTATTTTGTGTCCTTTTATGATTTGACTATAGGGTATACTTAAGTGATCTGACCCTAGGAGTTATGTTAAAAGTAAATTAAGAGCGTTTTCCACTGCTGTGAAGCTGCAGACTAGCGAAGCCAGCGGCTGTGGATGCCCGTTTTGCAGCAGCGGCTTCACGTCGTTTTCTCGTCCCATTCTCGCTTCCGGAGCACGCCAGCGCTCATTCAATCTTCCTCGAGCGAACGGCTCGCGTTCGTGCCACCGCGCCGAGTATCGGCGTTCGGGAAAGAGGCTACAGCGGGGGCGAAGGTTCGAGAAACAACAGTAACCTATTTTGCAAGGTGCGCCGAAACTTGTAGTCCTAAGTCCATTTTGTCTACGTGCGTGCTCCGTGAGCGCTTGGCCGTGAAAATTCATTATGTCCCTTTCTTCTTTTAAGAGGAAAGTGTATTATGCCGGGGTCCACCACGGCTCCGCTGACGTACTTTCGTCACGGAAGTGACGGAAGTACGTCAACCTCGTCACGGAAGTGACGAGATTGCAAAGAAAAATGCCAGCATACAAGCATATGTCGTGCGAAAGTGAACCAGACTTCTTGATAAACAGCGCGCGGCGCTAACAACTACACCACGGAGCTTTCCGTGTATGAAATGCTAAAGGCAAGCCATTTATATATACTGTACACCGTTTGACAGTCCTCAGAGCTTCGAAACATTAGCGCGTTTTTGTTATCAGTGGTCAGATGGCGCGACGGGCTCGCGTTGGGCGCGCTCTCAAGGTCGTCGCCTCTACTGAGCGCCGCCTCCACAGAGCGTGGTCTCTCCTGCGCGCGCGCTTATCAGACTCGCAATTCGGGAGAGGACGAAAGTCGCTTCACTCACTGACGCGGCCGCGTTTACGAAAGGAGCGCGCTGCTGACACACGACGCAGGAATAATTGTGACAGCTGTTCGCGCTTGTCCTGTGTACACTTGCACGCTCTTTTTATGCATCTCTTTTCTGTTTGAAAAGCGCACTTTGAGTATCGCGCTGTGAAAGTTGTTAGCCCGCGCTCGTCTTGTGTATGCCGATTCCGCGCGTGCTTCCTCCTTGAGGTGTGCGCTGCAAGTTTCGAGCTGCTTGGCATTCTTAACGTGATTTTGCAATTTAATTGTTGCTGTTCCTTGCACAATCAACCCTCAACAACCTCTGGAGAGACACGTTTAACTTACGTGTTATACGTTTTTTTTTCTCCACGTTTTTTTCGCTCAGCCGATGTGTTGGCACACACACACACACACACACGCACATACATACGGACATACATACATACATACCTACATACATACATACATACATACATACATACCTACATACACATACATACATACTACATACATCATACATACATACATACATACATACTACATACATCATACATACATACATACCATACATACATACATACCTACAGACATACAGACATACATACATACATACTCATACATACATACAGACATACATAAAAACAGTACTCCGGATATTGATATCTCGCTGCTTGTGACACAGGAAGATTCGTGGCTGCTTAAAAACGTACTTATTCGCCGTAAGTGAACAACTTCACGAGAAAAAAAATACACAAAAAATGTTATGTCAAAAAAGATATGAAAAAAATGGGCAGATCCCACGTACAGTGGGCATCGATAATATGCGAAGCCCGAATGAGAAATGTTGATATGTCACATTAAAATCAGCACAACGTTACGACGTGGATGTAAATGATGCCGTTCATGTCTTCCGTGTCATGATTATCCTGTTTGGATGTGTCGTTTACCTTCGTCATCTGTTGATGTTACGTGGTACCAAATTCAGTATACGTGGAGCTAGCGAAACGGCCGCGAGCACGCTATGAGCATGGTCTGTTGTCATGTCCTTACATGACGCGCGTGTCAGGATTATTATGTTTCGACCAGCCATATATTTCATCATCCATTGACGTCACGTAACACCAAATTTGTAATATATGGAGCTAGCAAAACGGCCGCGAGCGCATCATGAAGGGCCCAATATACTCCAATGTAGTGTAGACGTGCGCGCACGCTGGGCACAGCGACGCTACGTTAGCCAAACGCGAGCATTCTATAGTCTGACGCTAGGCGCGACCAGCGTTCGTCAGCGCGCCACGACAGCGACCAACGCGAAATGCGACATGCTGCATTTCGCGCCGATGCGTTACCCAGACAACACTGCGTCTCCCTCTTTTCGTGACGGAGGGACGCCGGACACACTGAAACACGCATGCTTCAAAACAACGCAGCGCGGCGTGCACCTGCGAGTATATGGCAGGACCGGTGCCTGGCATGGCTACGCCGGCGTGACGCGACGTAATGAACGCCGGCGAACACGCGCACCACGTCACCTCGAAATGTATTGGCGCCTTGACTGTGGTACGTATTCATGTTCTCACATGACACGCATCTCATGATTATCATGTTTGCACCAGTCACATACCTTCGTAATTCACTGGCGTCACGTAATGCCAAAGTTGGACTGTGTGAAGCTACCGAAACGTCCGCGGGCGCATCATCAGTGTGGCATGTGGCCATGTTGTTACATGACACGCGTGTTGTGATTATCATGTTTGGATGTGACATTTACCCATGTCGTCCGTTGGCATTGCGTAATACCGAGTTTGTTACATGTGAAGCTAGTCAAACAGCAGCGCATCGTCAGTGCATCATGAGCGTAGCAGGTAGTCATGTTGTTACATGACACGCATTTCGTGTTTATCATGTTTGCAGCAGTATCATGCCTTCGTCATCCATTCATGTACCGTAATACCAAATTTGGTATTACATTGGGGGGGGGGGGGGGGCGGTGTGCTGCCTTCTGGCTAAGCCCCTGAATAAGATTCGCGCTCACTCACTCACTCACTCACTCACTCACTCACTCACTCACTCACTCACTCACTCACTCACCTCCGTGAAGTATAATATGGTCGATGGTATGGTGAACGGAGGATAACAATACGGATAATAATATTCAAATTAATGTTTATACATAGAAACGTTTTTTTAAAGAAGGAAGTTGATGAAGTCCTCAGTTTTCTTGCACGGAGATGCTGCCTTCGGTATCTCATCGGGCGAAAAAAAAATGACACAGAGGGAGAACAAAGTGAAAGGTTTGTGTTTATGGAACATACCAGCCACTATAATGCCTTAACAACCAATCACGTCTCGATTCCACATCCGGGTTTCAGAAAGTCGGTACGCTATCAGGGCGAAAGCCTTGCATGCCTCATCATGCAAGACGGCGCTTACGAGAGGTCACATGATGACATTGTCGCGTGAAAT